AGCTGATCAATGTTTCTCTCTCATCGATGTTTCTGACTCTCTATCTCTCTCCCTTCCTCTCTGTAAAAAATCAATAAAATATATTAAAAAAAATAAACTGCACATATAAAATTGTACAATATGAGAAGTTTTGACATATGTATACACCTGTGAAACTAGCACTATAATCGTGAAAATGAACATATCTATCACACCAAAAAGTTTCCTCCTGCCCATCTCTTTTTCATTCTACTCCCCATCTCCAAACAACCACTGATGTCCTTTTTGTCACTCTAGTTTGGATTGTCTAGAATCTTGTATCAGTGGAATCACACAGTATATATTTGAGGAGTGGGAGAACCTGGTTTCTTTCACTCAGATAATTATTTTGAGATTCACCCATGTTGAGAATATCAATCGTTCATTCCTCCTTATTTCTGAGTAGTATTCCACTGTGTGAATAGACCACAATTTGTTTTCCATTCACCTGTTGATGGACATTTTGATTGTTTACACTTTGGGCCTATTATAAATAATGCTACTATGACTGTTCATGTACAGACTTTGTGGGCAAATTGCTATGAGTGGAATGAATGGCTAGATCATATGGTGGGTATATGTTTAGTTTTTTAAAAAATGGCCAATCTGTTTTCCAAAACAGTTGTTTCCTTTTATATTCCCAACATGCTGTATATGAGAATCCAGCTGTTTCACATCCTTGTCAGCACTTCTTATGATCAGTCTTTTTTTTAAAATATATTTTTATTGATTTCAGAGAGGGAGAGGGAATGGGAGAGAAAGCTAGAAACAACAATAATGAGAGAGAATATTGATCGGCTGCCTCCTGCACACTCCACACTGGGGATTGAGCCCACAACCTGGGCATGTGCCCTGACCGGGAATGAAACCATGAGTTTCATTCGAAGCTCAACCGCTGAGCCACACCAGCAGGGCTATGATCAGTCTTTTAAATTTCAGCTATTCTAGTAACTAGGGTGTTCAGTGATATCTTATTGTACCTCTAATCTTCATTTCCCTAATGAATAATGATGTTGAGTATCTTTTCATGTGCTTAGTTTTTCAGGCATTTATCTACTTTGATGAAGTGTCTTCAAATCAGGCAGTATAAGTCCCTCAACTTTCATTTTCTTGATCAAAGTTTTGGCAACTCTAAGTCCTTTGAATTTCCACATAAATTTAGAATTAGCTTAGTAATTTCCACAAAAAGAACCTGCTATGATTTTTGTTGAACTTGCCTTTAAAGCTATAGATCAAATCAGAGATAAATCACATCTTAAAAATACAGAATCTTCTGACCCATGAACATGATATATCTCTGTATTTAGATCATTAACTTCTCTCACAGTGTTTTGTAATTTTCAGTTTATATGTCTTTCACCTCTTTGGCCAAATTTATTCCTAAGTATTTTATTTTATTTTTGCTGCTGAATGGCATTTTTAAAATTTCAATGTCCAATTGTTCCAAAATATATAAAGAACTACAACTCAATGCTCATGCTCACTGCAGCATCCTATATGATAAAAGGCTAATATGCAAATTGACCAAATGGCAGAACTACTGGTCACTATGACACACACTGACCACCAGGGGGCAGATGCTCAACGCAGGAGCTGCCCCCTTGTGGTCAGTGCGCTCCCACAGGGAGAGCGCCGCTCAGCCAGAAGCCAGGCTCTCAGCTGGCAAGAGCAGCGGCGGTGGCAGGAACCTCTCCCACCTCCGCAGCAACACTAAGGATATCCACAGACAACAACAGAACCCAAATAGCTTGATTAAAAAATGGGCAAATGACCTTCTCTTTTCCCATTCATCCATTGATGGACATTTAGGTTGCTTCCACCTCTTGGATATTATAAATAATAGAGGCCTGGTGCATGAAATTCGTGCACTCGTGGGGGGGGGGGAGGTCCCTCAGCCCAGCCTGCACCCCCTCGTAGTCCAGGAGCCCTCGGGGATGTCCCACTGACGGCTTAGGGCCACTCCCCGCAGCTGGCAGTCGGACAACCTTAGTGCTGCTGCAGAGGCCGGAGAGGCTCCTGCCATGGCCTCTGTGCTCGCCAGCCAAGAGCCGGCTTTTGGCTGAGCAGCGCTCTCTCTGTGGGAGCGCACTGAGCACCAGGGGGCAGCTTCTGCGTTGAGTGTCTGCCCTCTGGTGGTCAGTGCGTGTCACAGCGACGAGTCATTCCGCCATTTGGTCAATTTGCATATTAGCCTTTTATCATATAGGTTGCTGCAGTGAACACGGGGTTGCAAATATTTCTTCGAAGTTTAACTGCTTTCACACATGATGGATCTTAGTTTTTGCAGCATTCAAATGTTCATCAAGCGTTCAAATACTGAACAACTATTGCATGTCAGGTTTTCTGCTGGCCATTAGGAAGAGAATCCTCAGTATGCTCTAAATGAGGTATAAGAAAGGAGTACAGCCCTAGCTGGTTTGGTTAAGTGGATACAGCATCAGCCTTCAGCTTGCAGGGTCCCAGGTTCCATTCCTGTCAAGGGCACATGCCTGAGTTGCAGGCTCAATCCCCAGTGTGGGGCCTGTAGGAGGCAGCCGATCAATGATTCTTTCTCATTATTGATGTTTCTCTCTCTCCCTCTTCCTTTCTCTCTGAAATCAATTAAAATATATTTAAAAAAGAAAAGTACACAGACAGACATGGACCTGGTCCTGCTAAAGTCTTATCATCTCATTGAGGTATTTTATTTTATTTTATTTTTTTTATTTTTTTAAATATATTTTATTGATTTTTTACAGAGAGGAAGGGAGAGAGATAGAGAGTTAGAAACATCGATGAGAGAGAAACATCGATCAGCTGCCTCCTGCACATCTCCTACTGGGGATGTGCCCGCAACCCAGGTACATGCCCTTGACCGGAATCGAACCTGGGACCTTTCAGTCCACAGACCGACGCTCTATCCACTGAGCCAAACCGGTTTCGGCTCATTGAGGTATTTTAGAACAAGAGTTAAAAGCATAGGCTCAGGGTTCGATTAGCTTGGGTTTGAATCTGGCTCTGCTCCTGACCTGGCGGTTGACCTTGGAAAACTTCATTAACTTTCCTAAGCCTGTTTCTTCATCTGTAAAATGAAAATATTAATAATAGATACCTCATAAGATTGCGGTGAGGATTAAGTGAATTAATACCTTTAAAGTCCTTGTAACAGGGCTTGGCACGTGGTAAATGGTCAATAAATGTGAGCTATTTATTATTAGAGGGCAGGATTAGATCCTCACAGGGTAAATCCACAAGTGATTGGGAAGGACAGGTGTGGAAACATTAACAAGCGTGAGTAGTAGTTTCATTTAGCTGCTAAGCATCCCTCGGTTAAAACCTTGCTCTGCTGTTTACTGGCCGAGTGCTTGGAGCAATGCCCGTAGGTGTTTAGTATCGTTCTTGGCACACGGGATACTTAATGGACCACATTTATTGACTAGGTATGTTCTGAAAAGCCGTAACATCGCCAACACCTGTTCATAATAGTAAGAGCTGCCATCTGTCACTGCCCACATGTTCTCTTTTATGTTTCTTGGTCTAGTGAGGCAAGCATATTCAACCCCGCTTCGTGGTAAGGAACGAGATCATCTCTGTGTAACTGTGACCAGTGGGCGGTTGGAGGCCTCCTAAGTGGTGGCTGGGAATCCAACCCCTGACCAAACCTGGGCTCGCGGTGGCCTCTGTCACCAGGGGGCCCTCCGCCCCTCGCCCATGGCGCCGGGAGAGGCAGCAGCCGGCCAGGCCGTACCCACGGCCGCCCCACGGAGCCCCTACCTCCAGGAGCCTGCCCGGCGAGGCCTCCACTTGGGCACGGCCCCGCCTGGGTCTTCCCTCTCAGGTCCCCGGGAGCAGCAGAGCACGGGAGCCAAGGCCCAGCTCTGGGGAAGGACGGGCGCTGTCTCCAGGCAACGCGCTTGACGTCACTGAGGTGCGACGGTCGCGCGCCTCGCCGCCGCCGCCGCAGCCCGCCGCCGCCTGTGGGCCCGAGTGACGGGCAGGGGCGGCACCTGTACCCCCGGAAGCGCGATGCCTTGAACCTGGGTGAGCTCCGCACCGCCGTCCTTTCGTCGTCTCCCGTCCCGCCAGCTCCGCGAACCTGGGGCTGGGACTGCCGAGCCGGGCTCCGGGGGGAGCCGCCCTTCTAGGTCCGGCGTCGGGCGCGGAGCCGGCCTGGGAGGCCCTGCGGGGACGCACCGGCTCCGGCCCGGCCGTTTCAATGGCCCGGTGTGGGGAGGTGGCTGGTCCCGTTTGGGGAGAGGACCTGGGGGCCCTGGAGAGAGGTGGTCCTTCTCGAGCCCGGAACCGCGTTTGAATCTTGCCGCCTGCGCAGCCTGTCGGATCGCGGACGTGGCTGTTGGTTCAAAGCTCCAGGTTCAAGTGCGCCTGAGGAGGGGCCGAGGCGGCGGGGGCGGCCGGCGTGTTTGGTAAACACACCGGTCACGTTGAAAACCACGTGCGCCCGGCCGCACCGGACGTCCCCGAGGACAGCCCCTCGGCCCGGCGACCCTAACTCTTACGGCCAAGCCAGCTGCTCGGCGTAGCCGGTCCTCCGTTTCTCCGTTAGTTTAGGCTGCTCCTCTTCCCAAAGGTCTGGCCTTGGTGATCCAGCTACCTGGAGGCCCGGCCCAGACGAAACGTTTCCTTGCTAATAATTGTTCTTTGTATGTTAGCTGCAGAACGTGGACTTACTACTATTATTCAAATCCATCCCCAGCCCCTTTACTTTAATTGCAGTGCACGCCCACATTCTGACCCTGCATAAAGTTACTCTTTTCCACCCCCCTCCGCCCATTCCTACTGCTATGAATTGAGCTCCATCCATTCAGGATTTCATCGGGCCCAGACCCTAAATTAGTCACTGCTCTATTGAGGTCGCCTCTCTAAGAAGTGATTCTTTCTGAACTCAAAAATCGTGTGGATTTTTTTTTTTCTTTCCTTTGATGCTGCCTGGCTGCCATTTCTAAATAATTTCCTCCTTAGTGTAATTGTAGATTTCCAAAGGTATGTTCTTTGTCCTTTCTTGTAACTGAACTTGGTATTTGAGGTGTGGAGCCCCGTCTTCCTTAGTTCACTTCCAAACACCTAGCACACTTAACCTTACCCTTCTGCCAAAAAAGCAGGGAAGGTCCAGAGAGGGTTCTTACAAGTCTAGTTAGTGTATTTTTCCAAATACGTATGTAATGTACTTAGTAAACATACTGGTGCTCTCAGAAATCAGTATTCTTAACCTCCACTCTCTACTCTCTCTCCTTTTGTAGTTTTTCTTTCTATAAAAATTTTCTTCGGAACAGGCATTCCAGGCTCTATAGTGACTCTAGTTGAATTTGTTTCGCTGCCTATAATATCTGTTGTAACTGCTGTTAATTTCTCATCTTGCAGAACAGCTTACAGATAGCAGAGGTTGAATAAGGAATGAGTAATAGAAGTGTATCCTTAGGGACCGAGTTTTTTATCACTGATGTTTTTTTATTACTGACTTCATGATGAAAAGAATCGGTTATTTCAGTTACGTATATTTTATAAATACTACAGTACTTGTGAGTTAGTCATTTTGTTGCACTTTCAGGCTTTTCAGCTTTTCTTTAATCCTTTTATGAATGGATATAGTTTAAATTTTCCCGGATGTTTTTGGATTGGGTTGGGTTGGGTTGGGTTTGGGGGTTGGGTTTTGGTTTTGCCAATTGCCCGTGATGTAATTTTATATCTTTATAAAGGATATTTGAACTACAACAATTCACTTGTTAGAAAAAGAAGTGATCAAGTGTATATTACCACCCACTAAAGAATGTGGCATTTTTGGAATCCTTGATATTCTTATATTAAAAAACAAAACAAAACAGTTGTTCTTTATTTTAAAAATCTTCCAAATGTTTTTTGAAAGCACATTATTATTCTGCTTGTGAGGACTAAATTATAGGTGGCACAATAGTATGAGAGCTGCTAGTTCTTTGAGAAATCTTGACCAGAGATTTGTCTTGTGCTGAATTCTATGCCAGTGGTTTGCAAATTATGTTCCCATGCAATACTGCTGTTCCATGATCCAGAATAGGGGTGGGGAACCTTTTTTTCTGCCAGGGGCCATTTGGATATTTATAACATCATTGAGGGTCATACAAAATCATCAGCTTAAAAACTAGCTGCTATATTTGGTCAAACATTTAATTAACTCACCCCTAATGCCTTGGCAGGACCAGACCCAATGATTTTTCGGGCCTTGTATCTGTGGGCTGGACGTTCCCCACCCCTGAGCTAGAAGGAAGTATTTGCTAATATCAAAATGATATCAGCCTCCTGAACTCTACTTAAATGTATTCCTAGTTTTTCTTTTATTTTCTTGAAGTGGTGGATATACTGCTGTTTTTATATTACATATAGTAACTTTTATATATATATTTAACAGAAACTATGTGAAGCAACACTTCCTGGATTTCAAAAGACATCATTTCATCATGGGACAACAGATTTCGGATCAGACGCAGTTGGTTCTTAACAAGTTACCAGAAAAAGTAGCAAAACATGTCACATTGGTTCGAGAAAGTGGCTCCTTAACTTATGAAGAATTTCTTGGGAGAGTAGCTGAACTTAATGATGTGTAAGGCTTGCTCTTTTTCATTTTATTTTCCTGCTTATGTATGCCCCACATGTCATGACTGCCTGAGAGGTAATCAGAAGTACTGATGACTTAATGTTTTCAGCAGCAGTTGGCAAATATTTATTGAATACCTACTATCAGATTTTCTATGTGGCTATTTTAAAATATGTAATAAGAACAAAAGAGATGGAAGGAACATTAAATTAAATTTTAAACACAGGCATATAAGTTGTTCTTGTTTGAAAGCACTAAAGAGGTACATAATGAGAGTATGCCAATTATCCACTCTAGAAAAAGGCTCCTAGGATAGTCCTTGGGCACTCAGGTTTCTGTATATCAGCCAGTTCATCTAGTTAATAAATAAATCTTCTGTGTTTGTTCGCAGAGCTATTGTTTTACCAGAGAAATACATATATAGTAATAATTCATTTATCATCAGAAGAATAAGATATTTAGTTATTAATATTTCTAATCAGCTAACATCTTTAAATCACTATTTAACTCGAATAGATTAATGTTTTAAATGGAATGTACATTTTTCTACCTTCTTAAAGAGCATATTTAATAGAATTTAGTCTTTTGTTTGTGAATTTGTTCTTTATTATATCAATTTTTATACCAATCTGTTATAGCAGCTATCAAAATACACAGGGCTCTTTGTTCCTAAATGGCCCCAGATTATTATTATACTTTAAAAATATTACTTTTTCTTTGTGTGTTTTCTCCCTTAGTGACAGATGAGCAGATGTCACTTCCTTCTATTAAGTCTTTCTGTGGCAGCACCTACATCCATGTATATATATCTTCTGTCTCTCTTGGCATGTAATTATGAAATTGCCTTTTAAATAAGATCTTAAAGGTTCTCTCTTAAGTCTGTTCAATTTAGCTAACGTTCACTGAACCCATAGTGTGTGCCAGGCACTGTGCTGAGCGTTGGACATTTTAACTGAGGCCTATAATGATTGCCCAAGGATTAATGGCAGATCCAGCTCTCCCTACATCTGAAGTTTTTTCATTAGCCCACCTTAGCTATCCCACTCTAACCTCTCTTTAAATCCCCAAAAAGCCAATCAAAATCACCAAGCAGTCTGGACCCACTTAGTAGAGATATAAACTATTAACAGTCCCTAGTAATAGTTTAGGGCAAGGTACATCAATGTGCTCCCTAGCTGTGTGATAGCTGTGTTGGTTGATAAGAAACATACTTGGCTATGTGGAACACATTTAGATAAAGAAAAGGAAATACAGTTTTTTTATGGACATGACTACAGTCTACTGTTATTAGCCAGTCATGAAGAATAAAGAATGTCTTAAAAGTTAAAGTTGTTTTAGAAGATCATTTCTTTTAAGAGCACTGGATTTTGTTTTGTTCTTAAAGTCCTGTATATTTATATGGATAGATCCTGTATTGTTATATATGTAAATACATAGAAAAAGAGCTAGGAGGCTGCATACTGGGTCTCTGGGGAGTCCGTGGAAACGGGGGCATTGAGGGAGATTTTACATTTTACTGTGTGTTTGTGTATTGTCTGATCTTTCATAATAAAAAAATGTAGCCATCGGTTTTTAAAACTTTAGCATCCCTTTGAGTCTCGGAACTTATGTAAACCTTGTCTAGTCTAACAAAATTTTGCCTTTGCATCTAAAGATACTGAATAAAATGTTCCCGTGAAAGCATCCACAAGCTAAGATTACTGTGTAATACAGATGTGATGGCAAAGAATATCTTCTCATTTATTTCTGACTGGATTTGGTTCATAAAACCAATTTTCACGGTCAGAGTTGGGCATTCATAAGCGCAGTGCTGTCTGAGAAATAAAGTTAAACCTATACGGATAAAGCGTGGCTTGATAGCTAGAAAACAACTGGGAGCTGGCATAGTTGAATTACATTCCCTGGCAGATTTTGTTACCTCAGGCTAGTTGCTTAATTTCAATGGCCTCAATTTATTTAGCTGTAAGTCACTTAGTTCTGAGTGTGATATCCCCATTGATGCACAGACAGAAATGTGACTAATGATAGAAGGGAGCAGTAACATTTAAGTATGTCTTTGAACTGATTTAAATTAGCATAATGGCGATATTATTCTCTAAAAGTCATATTTTTATGTTAGAATCCTGTGGCTCTCTAGATGAAAATTACTCTGCCCGGGGAAGCTATATTCAGAGTGTCTCAAAAGCATTTGCTTGATCCAGTCCACATTACCTATAAACTTTTTTTCCAAAGTGATGTGTTATTATTGTTGCTTAAATAAGGACTCAACCAAAAGCAAGATTTTTTTTTCACACTTTATATGCATTGAGGCAATAGTCAAATTTGGATAAGTGAAACCAGCTTGGTTTTTCTTTTAAATATCTGTTTCCTTGGATATGTTTTTCGTAGATGTCTTTGTTAAAAGTTTAAAGACCATTAAGATATTAGATATGACAAACAGATTTATAAATATCTTTCCACTATGCTATTGACTTTAAAAACCTTGGAAATTAAGTTGTATGTTTAATCAAAACTTTCTCTATCCCTTTGTTTTAAGAATCTAATTATTACAATCATTATTGTTATTTGACTTTGTGTTTTTTCTTCAATTTTTTTTCTCTGATTTAAAGTGTTTCTTGAATCTAGTTACATGGCTCAATTATTTTATATGACTTTTCATAAAATAAACAAATGTGTTTGTCTCTTTTCAGAACTGCTAAAGTGGCTTCTGGTCAGGAAAAACATCTTCTCTTTGAGGTACAACCTGGGTCTGATTCCTCTGCCTTTTGGAAAGTGGTTGTACGGGTGGTCTGTACCAAGGTGAGAGTGATAGGGACTTCTGATGCAGAACTTGAATTATTTTGGTGGTTAGAACCACATTTAATTGTGTAATGTAATATGATTGAAATGGATGTTAATAATGTGGTTATTATTAACTATTTAAAACATAGTTTTGGTACTGTTATTGCCTTCCAGGTTAATTGAATCTCACTGGTTGTGTAATTACCATATAGCAGAGATTTTTATAATCAAGAAAGGTGGTAGTAAACCCTCTACCTCTATTTTTGTATTTAGCTAGCTATGGAATCCTAAGGCGACACTCTACATAACTCTAAGATGACTCCTTAGAAATTAGTTATCTTAAGAGATCATGTCTTTTAAGAACACTGGGTTTTATTTATTTAATAATTTTTAAATCCATTAGAAAGGTTTGTGTTTTTTGTTTTGTTTTAGTAATTTTTAATTATAGAATGGATTTTTCACCATTAATACACTGTCTTAGTTCATCTTTACATTTTAGGTAATTGAATATATCAACTGTGTTGAAAAATATAATAGCCGCTGTCATAGAGGATTAGGAAGCCTCACCCACCAATGGGTAGATTAGAATAGATGGTTTTTAACTTTTGTGAGGCCACAGAACTTCGGTGAAAATGAAGGAACGAATTTAATTAGGCCTTCTCATATCCCCACTCCTATTATACAACAAACAAATGGTGAAATCATCCATGTGCATATAAACAATAAATTGGGCATTCATGAGTGCCCTGAAGTCCATTCCTGACCAACCCATAAAGAACTCGTGGGTAAGGAGATTTTTTCCTTTTGTGTCATGATCAGCAAAGTCTATACATTCTGTCCCCACCTCACCCCTAACCTTATTTTTTCCAATTTCTCCCCCCTCATTCTATTCCAACCACCCTGGGCTCCTTGCTGGACTCCTTGTGCTCCTTGCCAGGTACACTTCTGCCTAACATGCTTTGCACTTCCTATTCTCTCAGCCTGGGATGATCTTTCCTCCAAATATTGATATGATTCATTCTTTCACCCCTTTCAGTTCTTACATGTCACCTTCTCTGTGAGGCCTTCCCTACAACCCTTTAGCATTTCATCTCCTCTGTTTTATCTTCTCCATAACACTTACTTCTGTCTAATCTGTATTTTATTGTCTGTCTCTCCTACCTATAGTATAAATTCCATGAGGTCAGGAGTTTTGTTTTTTATACACACTGTCACCAGTGCCTAGAGCAGTGCACATATTACCTATAACAGTAATATGTACTTAATAAATATTTGTTGTGCCCTGATCAGTTTGGTTTAGTGGTTAGAGCATAGAACATCGGCCCACACACTGAAGAGTCGTGGGTTCAGTTCTTAGTCAAGGGCACGTACCTGGATTGCAAGTTCAATTCCTGGCCCTGGTCAGGGCACATGCAGGAAGCAGCCAATTGATGTGTCTCTCTCACATCTATGTTTCTCTGTCTCCCTCTCTCCCTTCCACTCTAAATAAAAATCAAAAGAAAAAAAAATATCTTCAGGTGAGGATTGAAAAAATAAAAAAAATATTTGTTGCAGTTTGATAAACTTTGCTGTTAAATACTATGTCTATGTGAATTATTCCCTGATTTCTTCTGAATTATACAGTTTCAAAGGAAGACTGGCCCAGTTTCTTTAGCTCTGAAAATCTGTTTTATAATTTATAAATTCCTATCACCTTTATTTCTATTTGTTTTCAACTGCACGTATAGTCTTTTATTACAAAGAATATTACATATTTGCATTTCCATTTAGATCTTACCATCCCAAAATTTAATCAAATTTTTTTAAATTAGCAGTGGTTCTGGCATTTTTACACATGGAATCTGATTCATACTTGATTCTCAGTTTTTCTTCTCATTGTCTTCTCAAGTAGTAAACAATAAATGTTAGTTGCAACTATTATTATTTTCATTCCAAATATGGAAATGTTGCTATAATAATGTTTTTTAATATGTAACCTTATATTTCACTTTCTCATATCCCCATTTCCATCAACACTTACTTCATTCACAATTTTAATGCCCTCTCTCTATATTTCTCCCTGCATTCTTCATTTCTTTCTAAGTATTTTATGATTTTGTTTGTTCTATTTATTTTGATATTGTACTTAATAGGTTTCGTTGCTTACTTCTGTCCCCACAGTCTTCCTTATCATCTCCTGTGCTGAAAGGAAGTCTTTTACATCTCTAATGTATTGCTGATTAATTCATGTTCTTTGCCCTCAATCCTACTGGCTTTGGTCATTTCAAAAGTGAAGATATGCCCCACTCCACGAGTCCTCCAACCTGAAAGCAATATTATCCCTCCTTACCTGTTACCTCACACTTGCCCCAAATATATCCTCACATTATAATGTAAGCTAGAGCAAGGCTAAGTATAACCTGTAGACACTGGTTCATTTTATTTTAAATGAGTTTTTGCTATACCTCAAAATGGCCTTCTGAGAAAAACTCAACCACTTTCTGTTAGAATTTACTTCAATATAATTTTCTCACTTTAGTTTGGAAGTTTGGGTGTAAAGTAAAACTTAAGATATTCAAGGAAACAATCTGTTGTTTCAATTATAGTAAAATGGCATGTGGTTGCTGGATTCAAATAAATGCCTTTAATTAAGAAATTCTTTAAGAAATTAAAATGAAAAGAATTGCCAATACTGATCTCTAAAATTCATTTCTTAAGTCTGGGAAAGTTGCCTGACCTCACAAATCTAAATAAGATGATTCCTAATCAACCCTACAGAGTTATTTTGAATATCAACTTAGATAAATTTGTGTAGCTCCTTTGAAATCTACAAATGTAGGAGACATGATATTATTCATATGCTCAGACTCTTGTTCTCTTGTTGGATAATTTGGAAACCTGGCAAACTTCTCTTTCCTAGGATGTTTGACTTAGTATTTGTTCCCCTTTTTTGGGGAAAAATTGATCAGAGAAATTATCAACCTTTTTGTGGGGGGAGGGCTTGTGTGTGTGTATTGTTGGGATTTTTTTTTTTTCATTTTCTTTGTATTTTTAGATTAACAAAAGCCGTGGCATTGTAGAAGCATCACGGATCATGAATTTGTACCAGTTTATTCAGCTTTATAAAGACATCACAAGTCAAGCAGCAGAAGTGTTGGCACAGAGCTCCACCTCTGAAGCCCCTGACGAAAACTCGTCATCTGTAACATCTTGTCAAGCTAGTCTTTGGATGGGAAGGTACACAATACATAAGCACCATGTTTCTCTTATTTTCCAATATGCAAGCTACTGAAATCTCATTAATATTCTGTCTGGTGCTCTTTGTGACATCTTAAATCACATTACTTTTTGTCTCAATTGATATATCCCAGATCAGCTTTTGGGTTATTCTGTACTTAAGGACATTGTTAGAGGGCCCAATTAAAGAAAAGTTGAAGTGGCTTATGCCAGGTAACATTGCTGCCAACTTCATTTCCATTAATCCACTCTCTACTCTACATGCTTGCATTTAGTGACAAAAGAGTTATAGTTAATACCCCTCTTATAATAGATATTTAGGTTCTTACATCAAAGCCCTTCAGGAAATTAGGCCCAAGAATGGCAGAATCATTCCAGTTTTCCTTAAAATTATCTAATTGGAGCATTAAAATTGTAAATATTGGCTCCAGGATCTGGCAGTGCATTCAGGAATGAACAAGTAGTTGGTGTACACATTGCATGTACCAGAAGGAAATGAAGTCAGCCAGAGTTTTCTGTGATGGTGCTTGTTTACTCAGGCCTACATTATTGTTCTATCTAAACTTTCTTTTCCTTCTCTATAATGTTTTTGGCACGTGAAAGCTCCCACCTGTTGCCATTTGACAACCATGATCATAATTTAAATTTGTAAACACCTCATTGGAAAGTCTTCCCTGGGTCCAGACATGTTGACATCCTATGGTATTGTCATACAGAGTAGACAGCAGAAACCTGTATTGACAGTGCCTTTTACCTTAAAGTTAAAAATATGCTTAACAAGAATTTCTCTTCTATTTCTCTAGTAGCATTTTCTGGTCTATTCTTAATCAGCTGATCTCCAAATACTAAAATTGTTATAGTAAAATTATATTTTCCATTTATCATTTTTCTGTTTATATTTAATAGGATTGTTTGGTTTTCTAGGTTTGGGCTGTACAAGTGTTACTGAAATTCCAAATGAGTTTTATAGCATCACTAGAGGCCTGGTGCACGAATTTGTGGACCAGCGGGGTCCCTCGGCCTGGCCTGTGGAATCAGGCCAAAACCGTCTCTCCGACATCCCCCAAGGGGTCCTGAATTGCAAGAGGGCGCAGGCCAGGCCGAGGGACCCTACCAGTGCACAATTGTGGCCGAAGGGACGCGGGAGGATGGCCACCCCGGGAGGGACTATGGGAAGGCTCCAGGGCATGTCCCGCCCATCTCACTCAGTCATCGGCTGGACCCCAGCAGCAAGCTAACCTACTGGTCGGAGCGTCTGCCCCCGGTGGTCAGTGCTCATCATAGCGACTGGTTGACCATTCGACTGTCTGCTCCCTGGTGGTCAGTGCACGTCATAGCAAGCAGTTGAGCAGCCTTAGCATATCATTAGCATATTACTCTTTGATTGGTTGAACTGACGACCGGACACTTGGCATATTAGGCTTTTGTTATATAGAATAGGCAACGTTAAGGCTTGTCTTTCCTGTATTTTGTAAAGTTATTCTTTCAAAGACAACTATCTGATTTTCTGCTTTTTCTCTCTCCTTCAAAATGGTGATTATTTATACATAGGATTTTAAAAGCCACGAATAGTATTTACTATATTTAAGCTCTGTGGTAGTCAATGAAATGGAAGTAATACTTTTTCCTTATTGCAGTCATCTTAATGAAGAAGATAGGGTGTTATTCCTTTTCATGTGCCCTTGAGACTAGAAAATTCAGTGCCAGATTAGTAGGTTAGGGCTGCTTTTTGCTTCTGTATGCTTTTTGGTTTTCAGTTACATCCTGATACACTAGTTCATAGAAAACCAGACTTTTTAAATTGAAGGGAATCTTAAGAGGTATTTATTTGCTTCAGCCTTACATCTCATGCATACTTCTATTAGTGGTTTATATTTATTGAGCACTTTTAGGGTAGTAGGCATTGTGATGAATGCTTTACATGTATAAACTCATTGAATCCTCACAACAACCCTATGGGAATACAATTATTGGCCTATTTCAGATGAAGAAACTGAGTTTAGACAAATAAATGGCATAGATAGACATTGGCCTAGCTGAGATTCACATGCAGGCCTGTCTGGCAATACAGCTGTGCTTCCAACCTGCATTGTTATTCTCTGGTGCATAAAGATCCTATACTACAGTGCTTCCTAACTTTTGACATTCAGTGGTTTTGAGGAGGAGCTTAAGATTCTAGCAAGCTTCCAGGTAATGTCACTGCTGCAGCTCCATGGATAACACTTTGAATAGTAAGATTCTACTGATGATATTTAGCCAAGTGAAAGTGCAACTTGTACATGATCACCTGCAGTTAAATGGGGCTCATAGCCTAAGAGAAGCAAGCCTTTTCACATACAGATGGTTCTAATTACTATGAATTCTTCCTACAATATAGTCCTATGAATATCTGTTTCATAGGACGCTTGAGAGAGTTAAGTGAGTTAATATATGTAAAATGCTTAGAATAGTACCTGGCCCATAATAATAGGTAAGAGTTAACTGTTATTAATTATCACTAAATTATTACTGTAGTCTACTTATTTCAGTGGCAGTGCCTTTTGGAATCCTACCAAAAAAGTCTTCTCTTTTCCAGCCCTTCACATATTTGAAAACAGTAATCAAATCCTCACTGAGCCTCTGTTCTCCAGGATGAGCAGCCCCAGTTCCTTCTGATTTGTTCATATGAGTCTCTTCTATGTCCTGGAGGCTTTCCTGGATAATCCTTTATCTCTCAATGTGTCTTTCAGGGTAGGGAGCATAGAACTGAATGCTCTGTAAGTGGTCTAACAAGGACAAGTAGAGCAAGGCTCTTCTGGTCACTGCACTGCTTGGAAGGTAGCAAAAATCAGGTGAACATTATACAGGTTCTATTGGCTGCTTCTGTGTCTCCTGTTCTTTCTTTTACCCCTATCCAGAATGCTGTTCTTCATGGCCCTCAGTGCCTCACTTTTAAATTCTCACCTGTCACTCTATGGATTCAATTATTTTCTCTGCTGTTGACACCCAAGTCTACATCCTTAGATGTAAATTGTAAGCTCCTCAAAAGCAGAGACTCCAATTCATCTGGGTCTGGCACTATATATAGCACCTAAACATTGAAATGAACATATGTAGAAAAAAATAAAATACATTAGATCCACATCCATCTAGGTTTTTATTCCATTTCCCCATTTCATTTCAATGGCTACCCTATTTTGCCCAATACTAAAGCATAACATTTAATCTATTACCACATCCTGATGATTTGTTTTTCATAATGACCCTTAGACCAGGCCCTAGTTATCTCCCAAGTGAATTGCTGAAATAATCTAATGGTTTTCCTCCCTCTACACTGCCCCTCATGCTGCACTCCCAATTAATCTTCCTGAAGTATTATTTCAATGGAGTTACTTTCCCCTTGATCAAACTCTGATTTGTAGTTTGCCTGTCAGAACAAGTTTAAACTTTTCTTTCTGATATCCCAGGATCAGATTCTCTTTGCTATATTTAAGCAACCTTTTCTCTCAGTTTTCTTCCCAGAGCATCACGCCAGGCTCCTTGTTGAGTGCATGTGTGCATACACAGGTTTTTTCCTACTGTCACAGCTTTGTTTATTCACCTAGCATGTTCTCTGTCAAAATCCTAGTCTTTCCAACAAGTTTGAAATACACTCATTTCCTCCTTTACTTCGCTCTTACTACATGTAATTCACATTTGATATTTGCTTATATTCTATTTTATATTCAGATTGATGAATTTTAAAGTAACATCTCAATATCTTATATACACACACTGGTATAAGCACAGCAGGGAATTAAAAACATGTTAGCAATAGCTTCTTTTAAATTTATAGTCTAGTGGCTGTACATTGAAACATTCAATCTTTAAAAAAAGCAATACATGCCTGATGAACAAAATCTAACAGTAATAGAACAGCACAAAGGATAAAAACAAATTAAAATCACTTTAAGAAACATTTATTGAGAACCTAAGATAAACACCCTTTATTCAAAAAAATTTTAAATTAATAGCCAGTAAACAGCCAGTTGAAATGCAACATGTAAGTTCTTTAATTAAGGCACATGTGGTTTTGAGAACAGGCAGGTGATATTTTGAGCTGAGTTACTAATATTGGAATTTACCAAACTCACAAAAGTATTCCAAGAAAGGAAAACACCACATGCAAAGGCACTTGGCCCATTCAGGGCACTCTAAATGGTGGCTGGAGTAGAAGATTCAACATCTCTTTTCTTCCCAAGGTGAGAGAGCTCCTTGAGGACCAAGACTGTGCTTTCTGTCTCTTTTATATTTACTGTAGCACCCAGTACTTAAGACTGAGGTATTTTTTCATTTATATGCTCATTATCAGCATCAGCACAGGGAGACCCTGATGGCAAGATTCATATTTTAGAAATTCATATTCATATTTATTCATCCTGTATAGTGAATAAATCATTATTGGTTGAATTCACTTATATAAATTTAATATAATTTAAATGGGTTAAGCTATTTGCAGAAAGACCTGAATATTTCCAGGTTTTTTGTCCATATTTTCTTTTTAATCACTGTAGAATTTATCCCTTTCCAGTCTTTATAAAATTTGCCCCTCTTAGTACTTCTTCCCTAATATAATGCCTTCCCTAAAAAGTATGTTGATTTAGTGTGATATTGTATGAGTCATTTGCTTTATACTGAAGGCACATAGATGTTTGATAATGCTTTTTCAGGTGATGGAAACAGTTTAAACCAGCGGTTGCTAACCTTTCAGACCTCGCGGACCACCGGTTGGTGACCACTGGTTTAAACTATAATGACAGCAGAGAATATCATTGTTCTAGCTTAGCTTTCACTTTGCAGGGTGAAGCAGCTGACTGATGAGGAGGAGTGTTGTATCTGCATGGATGGTAGAGTTGACCTCATCCTGCCTTGTACTCACAGCTTTTGTCAGAAGTGCATTGATAAATGGTAAGTTATCTGGTGTCTTCATGGAATAGGCAAAGGTCAAATGAGAACATGTATATGAATAAAATTCAAAAAAATACAAAAATATTGTAGTTAAGTATAAGATTTTGTTCTTAAGTACTTTGGATTTTATGACATGCCTCCTAATGGTTAAAAATATTTTTATTTTTATGACTAAAGTTTATAAAATGTGGGGGTGTATTTTAGTTTTAGCAGTTTACTTTTGCTGTAAGGAGATTTGTGCCTGACTTGAGTCTAGAATCACAGGCTTCCCTTTTTCTTATTTCTACATTGTTCCTTTATGTGTGGTTAGAAGAAATAATAATTGGATCTGGAGGGAACTTGAGAGATCAGCTGGTCAAGCTCATTAGTATTTTATAAATAAGAATCTCATTTAGGAGAATTTATAATCGATATACAATTAACTATACTTAAAGTACAGTTTGATGTTTTGACATGTGTACACATGCACAAAAACCATCTTCACTATACAGATAATGAACTAGTCCATCATCCCAAAAAGTTACCTTTGTGTCCTATTATAAAATCTCCTTCCCACCCCTTCCTTCCAGTGCCCAGACAACCACTAATCTGCTCTCAGTCACTATAAAATAATTTGAATTTTCTAGAATTTTTATAACTGAAATCATATAGTATATAACCTATTTTTGTCTGACTTCTTTCATTCAGTATAATTATTTTGAGATTTATCTATGTTGTAGTATGTGTCAGTAGTTCCTTTTTATTGCTGAGTAGTATTCATTGTATGGAAGTCACAGTTTATTTATCCATTTACTTGTTGATGGACATTGGGTTGTTTCCAATTTTTGGCTATTACAAATAAAGCTTTTTTTAACTTTGTATTTCTTTTTACAATGTTTCTTTTGCTAAAATAAATGGAAATGCAAACTCCAAATTTAGGAGCTAAAAACACTACTTTTTTTTACAGAAACTGCCCATCTATCCAAAAGTATAAAATCTAGATCTCTTCAAATATCAAGTGAAAGACATTTACCTTTATAATTATATAAATAAAAAGTAAAACAATATTACAAAACCACTTTCACTTATAAGAAGGACAAGGTTTAGCACATACAGTCTTGGCAAGCTTGTGGCAAAACTGACATTTTTATATATTGTTGCTCAGTATATAAATTGGGTACAACTGCTTTGGAGAACATTTTGGCAATATCTGTTAAATAGTTTTTAACCTTTAAAAGCAACTTTATTGAAGCATAACATACACACAATAAAATGTGACCATTTTACATATATATTTACATTTTAACAAATTTTTATAACTATGTAACCAACATGACAATCAAGATACAAAACATTCCCTTTCCCCAAAAAGTTTAGTACCTGTGACAAAGTCAATAATAGGAATCAGAGATCTTTGATTATATTACAGTTGATATGAAAGTCACAGATACTTTCTTATCTCATCATGTAAATGTCATTTACTCTCTTCACTACTTTGAAATCATGGCAGTTTTCAAACTCACTAGCTTTACAAATAAAGCTTTCTATACATTTGTGGACAAGACATTTTATGGACATATATTTTGGGTTTTTTTTCTTGTATGAAAACCAAGAGTGGAATGGCTAGATCATATGGTAGATATATGTTTAAATTTTTAAGAAACTGCCAACTGTTTTCCTCAGTGGTTGTACCATTTTACACTTCCATCAGCAATATATGAGAGCTGAAATTGCTCCACAACCTTGTCGATACTTGGTTTGATCAGTCCTTTTAATTTTAGTCATTCTGTAGATGTGCAGTGTTACCACATTGTGGTTTTAATTTGCATTTCCCTATTAACAATGTTGAGCATCTTTTCATGTGCTTATTTACCATCCATATATCTTCTTTGGTGAAGTGTCCATTCAAAGTTTGAGAGTTCTTTATTTATTATGGATATACTAAAGCAGCAGTTGCCAACCTTTCAGACCTTGCAGACCACCAGTGGTCCACGGACCACCGGTTGGCAACTGCTGTATTAGAGGACTGGTGCACAAAATTCGTGCATGGGTAGGATTCCTAGGCTGGCCAGCGATCAAGGCCAATCAGGGCCTTCCGACTGCTGGCCGGGGCCTTTCCCAGCTGCTGGCTCCTGGCTGGGGCCTTCCTTCATTCCATGCTGCCCCCTGGTGGTCAGTGCACGTCATAGCGAGTGATCCAACTCCCGGTCTCCCAAACTCCCAAGGGGACAATTTGCATATTAGGCTTTTAGATAGATAGATAGATAGATAGATAGATAGATAGATAGATAGATAGATAGATAATCCTTTATCAAATATACACTGAGTGGCCAGATTATTATAACCGGCCAAATTATTATGACCACCCCATCAGTACTTCATTGACACTTCCAAAAATACTGAATATTGAAAACTAAGCAAATACTCTCAAAGTTTTATTATTATTTGCATAACTAATTCACTTCATTGTACTGATGGGGTGGTCATAATAATCTGGCCAGTCATAATAATCTGGCCACTTATTGTATAATTTGCAAATATTTTCTCCCATTTTGTGATTTGCCTTTTCATTCTCTTAAGAATATCTTTCAAAGAGTAGAAGTTCTTAATTTTGACAAGGTCCAGTATATCAGTTTGTGATTTATGGATAGTGATTTTAGTGTCATATCTAAGAAATCTTTATCTTCTGAAAATTTTATAGTTTTTAGGTTTTACATTTGGGACTATGATCCATTTTGAGTTAATTTTTTAATATGGTTTGAGGTATGGATCAAAATTCTCTTTTTACATATGGCTCCAGTTGCTCCATACCATTTTGTTGAAAAGACTATATTCACTAAATTGCCTCTGCACCTTTGTTGAAAAGCAGTTGTTCAAATACATGTGAGTATATTTCTAGGTTCTGTTCTGGTCCACTGATCTATTCATCTATTTCACATCAATATTGCAATTATCTTGATTATTATCTAGCTTCTGTAAGTCTTAAAATCAGGAAGGGTTAGTCCTCACACTTTCTTCTTTTTCAAGGTTGTTTTGACTGTGCTAGGTCTTTTGAATTTCAATATGAGTTTTAGAATCAACTGTCAATTTCTACAAAAGTTGTAAGGCTTTTGATTGGGATTGCGTTAAATAAATAGTCAATTTGGAGACTTGACTTAATAATATCCAGTCTTCCAATCCACAAAAACAGTTTATTTCTCCATTTACTTAGTCTTGTTTAATTTCTCTTATCAATTTTTGTAGTCTTCAGTGTTGCATATCTTTGACAGATTTATCCCTAAGTACTTTGTTTCTTATACTATTTCAAATGGTATTTTTAAATTTCAGTTTATGATTGTTTGTTGCTAGTATATAGAAATAAAATAGATTTTTGTGTATCAATCTTCTATTCTGCAACCTTACTAAACTCATTTATTAATTTTGATTTTTTTTGTAGGTTCTATAGGATTTTCTTGAATGTCTATTTAAACATCATTTTAAAAAATACTTTTTCTGGATAGAGAATTCTAAATTGATAGTATTTTTTTTCCAGTACTTTAATGATGTTGCTTTATTCTCATTTTTCTTGCATTGTTGCCTATGAAAAATCTCTATCATCCTTTTTTCCTATGTGGGTATTATACTTTTTTCCCTCTGGTTGCTTTTAATGTTGTTTTTCATTATCACTGGTTTTGAGTAGTTTGATTATGATGTGCCTTAGACTAGTCTTCTTCCCGTTCCTTGTGCTTAGGGTTCATTGAGTTTTTTAGAATTATAGGTTTATGGTATCACCAATTTTGGAAATGTTACAGCCATTATTTCTCAAATATTTTTTTCTGTTCTCTCTCCTCTCCTTTTGGGACTGCAGCTACACATATAGACCATTTGAAGTTGTCCCACAGTTCACTGATGCTATTTTCTTTCTTTTTTTTTTTTTGAGTCATTTTCTCTGTTTGAATAATTAATACTGCAATGCCTTTTCAAATTATTAATCTTTTTTCCTACACTGCCTAACTTGCCATTAATTCCCATCCAGTATATTTATTACTTCAGATATTATAGTTTTCATCTCTAAAAGTTTGAGTTTTTTAATATCTTCTATGTCTCTAACTTAATGTGTTTGGTCTTTCCTCTAGTTCTTTTTAAAATATATGGAATATGGTTATCATAACCTTTCCTTTTCTTCTCTGCTAATTCTAACATCTGTGTCAGTTCCTGATTGGTTTTGATTGATTTTTCTCCTCATTTTGGGTTGTATTTTTCTGCTTCTTTTTTTTTTTTTGCCTGGTAGTTCTTGATTGGGTGCCAGACATTGTGATTTTTACCTTTTTGGGTGCTGGATATTTTTATATTACTATAAATATTCTTGAGCTTTGTTCTGGGATATAGTTACTTGGAAACAATTTGATCCTTTTGGGTCTTGTTTTTATAATTTGTTAGGCAGGACTAGAGCAGTGTTTAGTTTAGAACACATTATGTCCCACTAATGAGGCAAGACCTTTCAGAGTACTCCATGCTCTGTGAATTATGAGGTTTTCCAGTCTGGCTTTTGGGAACAGGCAATATCCCAGGCCCTTTGTGAGCTTTGGGTACTGTCCTCTCAAATACTTCTGGGTGATTCTTCAGCCTGGAGTAGTTTCCTCACATGCACACACACTGCTGAATATAGGGCAGTGGTTCTCAACCTTCTTAATGCCGCGACCCTTTAATACAGTTCCTCATGTTGTGGTGACCCCCCCAACCATAAAATTATTTTCGTTGCTACTTCATAACTGTAATTTTGCTACTGTTATGAATCGTAATGTAAATATCTGATATGCAGGATGTATTTTCATTGTTACAAATTGAACATGATTAAAGCATAGTGATTAATCACAAAAACAATATGTAATTATATATGTGTTTTCTGATGGTCTTAGGCGACCCCTGTGAAAGGGTCGTGCGACCCCCAAAGGGGTCGCGACCCACAGGTTGAGAACCGCTGCCTAGGGGGACCATCTGTAGATTCGGGAATTCTCCCTTTGTGCAACTTTCTCCACACCAGTTTCTCTGCCATGTAACTCGGAGCTGCCTTAGCTTCCCGAGACTCTCAGCTCTGTTCCTTCAACTAGGGAAGGAGCCTGCCAAGTTCCACCTGGGTTCCCCCTGCTTATTCTGTGGCCTAGAAACTCTCAAGGCAGTAAGCTGGGGCAGTTGTAGGGCTCACCTTCTTTGCTTCCCACCTCTCAGGGATTATTGTCCTTTGTTATCTGGTCCCTATTGGCCTGAAGCAGAAGTTGATTGTTTTAAAATTGTGACTTGTACACAGAAGAGCACACATAATTATCTTTGTAAAGTATCTCTCTCTGAGGAATCAGAAAGGAATCTGAATAATATATGCCAGCTCTAGCTTTCACATTTAGTTTTTGAAACAGATTTCTTAGTTTTGTACTACAGCCAAAGAGCAATTGATATAATTTAATTACTTTGGTCTCAGATTTCACTGAGAGATGAAGAGAAAAGCATTCTCCCTGCATGACATGTTTCTGGCTCAAATATGGTAGTTTAGAAATTTCCAAATTAATGTTTGTCAAGACAAAAACATCCCTTTGAAAAACATAATCTTATTTAAGTGATCATATGTGAGCTCTTTTTCTATCAGGAAAATTATTCTGCATGTAAAGTTATCTTTTATTTTAAATCTTGAATTCTTCCATTTTGTTGTTTGTAGTGGCAAAAGAAAGGAAAAAACCTAAATGTTCTTCTGTGGGAGACTAAATAAATGGTGGCCTATTCATACAATGCATGTTTAAAGGAATAGACAACTCTAACATGCACTGACACATAATGGCCTACAGGACATACTGATGAACTGATAGTGGTTGCCCCTGGGGATAAGAATTAAAGATTGGGCTGGAGGGAGAGATTTATTTTTCACTGTATACTTTTATGCTGTTTACTTTTTTATAAACTATGTATATTTATTACTTTTTAAACAAACCTGTTTTTAAAAAAGAGGAAAAAGAACTGTTGTTTAATCAACTTCTCTAACAGGAGTGATCGACACAGGAATTGCCCTATTTGTCGCCTGCAGATGACTGGAGCAAATGAATCTTGGGTGGTGTCAGATGCGCCCACTGAAGATGATATGGCTAACTATATTCTTAACATGGCTGATGAGGCAGGCCAGCCCCACAGACCATGACCTTGAGTGAAGTATTTTGTTGCTATTGTGGGCTACAAACACGTGGGTCATGGGGAAAGAATGCAGGGATGTTGGGCGCAGGCACCGAGAACTCACTTTTCCCCACCCTCTTATTTTCGCTTTTCTGACAATTTGTCCCATTTCTTTTGATTAACTTTTCATGTCTTCCATTTATGGTAAATTAAAACTTGCTACTGTTATAGACCATTATTTTCCTATTATTTATCTGTTCTAATATAGCTTATTAGAACTAATTGCTCTTGAATCCTTTGCTGCAGTAACAGCAACATTTCCAGAGGCTTCTGAAACACTACTATTTTTCAGGGTAGGAGCATTCTGGAATAACCATAAACCCTGGCCAGAGTGGCTCAGTGGTTAGAGTGTCCCGTGCACCAAAGGGTCTCAGGTTTGATTCCCAGTCAGGGCACATACCCAGGTTTCGGGTTTGATCCTCAGTCAGGGCACATATGGGAGGCAACCAATCGATGTTTCTCACATCGATGTTTATCTATCTCCCTCTCCCCTTTCTCTCTTTCTCTCTTGAATCAATGAAAAATGTATCCTCGCGTGAGGATTAAATAAATAAATAAATAAGTAAATAAAATAAACCATGAATGTTAAAAAGTTGTAGCCATCTGAGAGAAAATTTTATATGACTGAAAATGTAGAATACGTCAAAGTGCATGTTACTACTTAAATTAGCTTTTCTGCTGGAATCTAAGGAGTATGTATGCCCCCTTGTGGTTAATTATTGCTCCTTTAATAATTATTACTTGAAATGATCCACAGTTATTTCATAACTTTAGCTGTGTGTTTAAAACTACATATTTTTTATTTAAAAGCCTTTTATTCCCCCTCATTCTGTATAATTTGGGTGAAGACTAAAAGTTGGGTGTGATTTTGCCTTATAAATGAATTTCTGCTGGGGAATCTTCTAGAAATGCTTTTCCACAGCTGGGGAACTGTTCTAAATAGCTTTTGATAAAGTTCATGCGTCTTGGAGTTTCAGAAGGAAATTTTTATCACAGATCCTAAATGTTATATGTCCAAATTATGGCGAATCATTCAATATTAGTTTATGGTGCTTTTATTTTAACTTGAAAGTATCTTACTGAGGCCAAGTCCTCAGACTTCTTAGGTTAAGAAAGAAGAAAATAGGATAAAGCCTTTAACCATAAGTACATAAAACACCTCTGAAAATTAGGAGATAATTTGGTTTTCTTGTGGTTCATTCCACTTCCTTTCAAATACTTTGAAGGAATTATGTTCAGTGGCATGTTAACCATTTTTTAAAATTTTACTTAAAAAGTAAATTTTTGTTTTATGTTAAACATTATGATGTCAGCATATAATAAAATTAGGGCCTGATGTCTTCTTTTAAAAGAATGTTAACATTCCATGTAACTTTTCTGACCTGTTAGTAAGTTACAAATATATTCGGAAGTACCAAAGTATACAATTTAAGTTGCTTCATATTGATGGCAAAATTTTTGGATACTAGAATTTTTCATAGGCATGCAAATTAAAAATTCATTTCTAAGCAAAATGTCTAACCAAATATGGCTTGATTTTTACCCCCAAAATACTGATAATGAATTGGTTGATATTCATGATGGGGGCAGATCAGTACCAAACAGCTAAACACTCACTGGATGTTTATGCAGAGTACCGAGGGCTCTATCACATCAACCTGGCGATGCCTTTTATGGTCATGTGACCTTGAGAAAGTCCCTTCGTCTGGTTTGTAGGCTCATACTTTAGAAACAGACTTTATTTTTGGTTTTCACACTTTTATTTCAGCAGTAAAATCTTTTTTTTCCAAGTAAAATCTTACTCAGAACCCCTAGCTACATGTGCTGCATGTGCATGCACACACACACACCCCCTACACCACTTTATAAATCTTATTTTATTAATATAAATTTCTTTGTAAACTTCAATTACTATAATACTAAATATTATAAAGCCAATCAATGAAAACATGTATTAATGCATTGGTGATATCCAATGTATTAGAATTTGGTGAGTAACAGAGTTATATGATGGAACTTGTTTTTTAAATTAATTTTTTACCAAAATAAATTTTTTTAAATTAAATTCAGGTCAAATTTGCAAAACCCTGACTCTCCTCCATGATCATTAGTATTCTATGGAACATATTTTGAAAACCTTGGGATAGATGATCCCTCAATATCTTTTTCAGCTCTAAGATTTTAAATCCTATGGATTAGACTTACTGAGTCCAGATCAGATTGCCTAATTTAAGAATGTTTCTGAAAATGAGCAAAGTTGCTTTACAGATTTCTGGATCTTTCCCAGGTATAGCCAGTGATTTTATCCCTCCGAATCCTTCACCTTTCAAGGAATTATCTAACACAGAGAACAGAAACTTGATATTGCCCAAACCTTTTTACTTTTCAATATGAGCTCCAAGACACTAACTGATCTACTGTGAAACAAAATGTTTTTATTAGCCTTATCTAATAAATGAGCACTTTTTGCTCACTTCATTAAACTGGGTGATAATTCTTTAGATGTGAATATTAGGTAGGTTATAATAACTAATCATAAAAAGTTGTAAATGTGTTAATGGATGAAATGTACTTTTTGTATTCTGTACAGCTTTGTCTTTTTTAATTATGAAGTACTTAAATGCACTTACTATGATAGGAAGTATAATGTGTGCCTTCTAGGATTTGTGAAATGGTTTCATGAACTCTAAGGAATTTATTTTATTTTATGTTGTAAAGTTTTCCCTATCCTAACTCAGTAACAAAGGGTTGACTCATATTACAGTGCTATAAAATTTTAGTTTAAGAAAATAGATTTGACTACTGAATTTAGAAGTGGAGAATAATAGTATCTGTTTTATTTTAGGATAAACTGATATATTGTGCAATAAATAATCTTTAACAAGTAAATTTTAGTTCATTGAAGAGGTTTTTTCTTATCATGTAGTTTCACATTCTCATGTGCCAAATGCTTATATTCCTTAAAGGACTGTTTTGTGTTGTGCTCTGGGGGGTTGTGATGTTTGTGTACTATGTGTTAAAATTCATTTCAAATTGGACTCAATTTTCTTATACCTAATATATATCTGAGTAATAAGGCTTCTTGAAAGTACCTTTTGGTTCAGTGATTTTTAACAATGGTAAGTTGGATTTATTAAAAGGAAGTCTGAAGAATTTGCATTTTACTGGTTTCTTCTTCATTAAATCAGGCTTATCCAGGAATAAGAAAACTACTTGGAGGTTAGGGAAATCAGCTGATCACCCATATTTATGCTGGACAACACAATGACAATATAATAAACAGTTTATAGCAGACTTTCATTTTTCTTTCTTATCTTTTAAAAATAATTGATAAAATATTCCATCCTATGGCAGTTTTTTTAAATATTTTTATTTTTTATTGATTTCAGAGAGGAAGGGAGAGGGAGAGGGAGAGAGAGATAGAAACATTAATGATGAGAGAGAATAATCAATTGGCTGCCTCCTGCACACCCTACACGGGATCGAACCTGCAACCCAGGCATGTGCCCTGACCAGGAATCAAACCGTGACCTCCTGGTTCATAGGTCGACGCTCAAGCACTGAGCCACGCCGGCAGAACCTTATAACAGTTTTGATCTTTACCTTGTAAAATCATTTCTAAGATAAAATTAATGTAATTAGAGAAGCATAGTAGAATTTTTGGGCTAAGAAGTGAAAAGCCATTTATAAGGAGTGGTAGTTTCTAATTAAATTTACTAATATATGTCATCATGGAGAACACATTTTGGTCTCAAAAGACATAAAAGCCTCCAGCTATATTTTAATCTTGCAGCTGTGTATAGTCTTACTCTCTGGCACCCTCTGTCTTTCTGTTAAGATATTTATTTAGAGGTTGAGAGTGTGAAAATTCCTGAGGAACTATATCTGTCTGATTAGTGTTCCTTTTATTGTAGTTAGTTACACTTGTTCTTTATAATAGTCATTGTTCAGGTATAGAATACGTAGGTATATTATCAACATAGCTCTTTCAGCTGTGCCTAAAAATCCAGAAAAAGATGAATATTGTTTCACCTACACAGCACTCAGAAACAAGTAAAGTGAAAAGCCAGAGGGGTGGTTTGCGATTCTGCTTTAATCCAGGATACGAGGAAGTGAAGGCCCAGGACAGGCCTTGGTAAATACCAACCTAGAAGTTGTGATTTGTTTTCATGAGACAAAAAGCAATGACACTGATAATTTCAGCAATGCAGTTTGAAGTAACACATAATGTGAAGTTGAGCCTTTTAGAGTAAGGGATAACATACTCACAAACTGTTGTCTTAGGAACATGGGATAGTATACAATTACCTTTGATTCCAGCTGTGAACGTGAAAGTAGGATTCCCCCTCCACCCACCCAAAAAAAGGCCAGTTACGTACAATGATGTAATAAAAGTTCAGAGGGCTATAGGAAAAGGAAGGTGTCTGAAAAGTTTACAGGACAGGTAAAATTTCTGCAGTAAGTGCTGGCTGAACAGATTAAAGTAATACCATGGAAAGGGAAATGAGCAGGCATGGCAGAAGTTAGAGAGGAAGACAGCAAAGGTTTACTTTCTGGGCTGGTGAGCTCCAGCTTGAGATTTTTTTGTTTCCTAGTGAATGTCATCCATGTCTCAGCCTTAGTTAAAAATGAATTAGTAGTTATTGATAGCTTTCCCTGATGCCCAGTCTTGTCTTACAGTAAAAAACTTAAACATTTGCTTTAAATGGTATTAAGTTGAAATAGTTTTAAATTATGGAGCCGTAGTCCTAACAGACTTTATTTAATAATTACAAACAAATACTTGATACAGATAAAATAACAATGAAAAACTGTACAATGCTTGCAATGATAGGCAAATGTATACAAATGGGAGATTTTCAAAAATAATAAATGTCTAAAATAATGCCGGGTTTTCATTCAATTTCTTGATTAGTGATAAGATAGCATATATGTTTGCCTAGTTAAAAAGAAAACACTACACTTATTGTTCTGTTGACCAGTGGAGGGGACATGCATTATAAAATAAAGTCACAGGACAAGAAAATCTGAAGTCAAATAAGCATTTTCACAGGCAAAAATAGGATTCTTCCAATCTCATGATTCGGGACTTCCCATAGTCTGCATTTGCTCACAGAAATAAACAAGAAGGTCCTTGAACAGCATGTGTATTAAGAGCACATATTCTTAAAAGGTTGCCAAAAGAGAAAGTCATTTATTCAACATACATTTATTGAGCACCTACTATGTACCAGGCACTAGTAACACAGATGAAGAGTACATTGGTAAAGCTTAAATTCAGACTGGTCTTAAAAAATACTTTCTACCTGTCCCCTGGGACCACTTATATATTGGGAAAAAGTCCGTGTGTTAGGTAAGGGACAAAGAAAAAATGCACCGGGTTATAGTGATAAAAGTTAGAACTTTTGTGAGGCCTTGTGGAATAGTGGAGAAAGGGCTGGATTAGGAGTAGGGAAACCTAGTCCTATTACTTACTAGCTGTGTGACCTTAAGTAAATCTCACTTCTCTGGCCCTAATTTTTCATAAGTAAAATGATAATTGGGCTACAATCATTCATAGAATATTAGAGCCAAAAGGGAACAGAGATTATCTAGTCTGGTGCTTTTCAAAGTACTTCAAATAAAAATATGTAGAAGTCCCATTGAAGAAGCAAAGGTAACACCCAGAACCTCACTCCCCTGCCCTCTCCCACCCGGAAATTGGGAGGGGGATTCAAGACCTCCATTTGAAAACCTCTCATCTAATCCAAACCCTCCCTTTTCAGATGAGGAAACCAAGACACAGAATAGGAGGGGCTGTTTCAATGTGCACATTTGGCTTCCTAAATAGAAAGGAGGGAGGAGGGCTAAATAAAACAGTTTTAAGAAATTCATCAAAAATGGAAAAAAAAAGTTTTTTGTTGTCTTGTTAATCCTCACGAGGATATTTTTTCCCCATTGATTTTAGAGAGAGTAGAAAAGAGGGGAGGAGGAGACAGAGAGAAACATTGATGTGAGAGAGCCACATCAATTGGTTGCCTCCTGCACACTCAACTGGGGCAAGGAACCTGCAACCCAGGTACATGCCCTTGACCGGAATCGACCCCACAACCCTTCAGTTCAGGGGCCGACACTCTCTCCACTGAGCACATCGGCCAGAGCAGAAGTTATCTATTTTAATTCTCTCAAAGTAGCTCCTTATGACAGGGAGCTTTGAAATTGATTTTGTTTAAGGCAGCCAGAGGCCGAAATGAACAACTACCACAAAGACTGTACGGCCTACAGCGGACTATGGCAGAAAACCACACAGACCCCATGTCAGTAGCCACTTGATCCGTGGAAGATCCTGGCCCTAACAATGCAAGTACTAGCGGTTTCAAGAGAAATATTTGGAAAATTAGGAATGAGTACAGACTGCTGTCTATCTCCCAGATCCCCAAGGAGCAGTCACCACCTATTACTCAGAAATACTAACAGAAGTGGACATGTCGGGTCTTAAAGTGAACGGTACAACCAAAATCACTTGGTTTGAAGATTCTTCAGAGGCATCCTCTCCCAGGAGGAAAGTCCTAGTGTGGTATCTTGACCACCGTTAATCACAGCAGATGTGAAATTAAACCAGAAAGTTAAAATGCATGTCCAGTGCTCGACCTACTTGGTCAGGGCTGTGATCTGTTCTGATTTCATGGCATCAGACAGGAAGCTGAGCTCATTGCATAAGGTCTCGTATCGGAATGCCATCCGGATCTGAGCAACGTTTGTCTTTCGAATATCATTTCCTTCAGGTCCTTCTTTATAATAATTTTGTCCCAGAAACTTCTGCTTTTCCTGTGGCCCAAGAGAAATACAAGTCAAACAGTACACCTTAGATTCCGTTCTCTAGCCACACGGCAGCTCTGGCATTCAGCCACACCAAATCAGACGTCCCCCATCAGGGCATCTTTCCCCATGGGGCTCTTACGAATTTCCTCCTGGCCCCCATGTCCTCAGGGATGTCACCCTGACAATCACATTCACTCCCTTCATCTCTGACTATGCCTTCCTTGATCAGAAAGGACAGATTCCTGCTGGTGAGGAAAATGGCAAGGTGAAGACTCTTAAGAAGTCCCTCCTCAGAGCTGGCAAAGGCAGACAGTCGGGAGTTTGGGGAGAGCCAGTCCAAGGAACCGAGTGCACACACTGAGTCTGCAGCCTTTAACTCCTCTGCATCAGCATCAAAAGAGCAACACCGGTGCAGCCCTGTTCCTGTACCAGCGACATCACCCAGAGGAGGTACCCGGGACCTGTGCCACTGAGCAATGATTCTCAACCCTGCATGTCAGAATCACCCAGGAGGCTGTAAGAAGCTACTGATGTCCAGGTCCCATCCCTAGAGTTTCTTATTCAACCTAGGTACTCCTCCTCTGGTCAAAAAATACTGAGGGCCTAATGTGTGCCAGGGGCTATTCTAGGCCGAGGGATATAATGCTGAACAAAACAGCCTTTGCCCTAATGGAACGTACATTCCAGAGGGAAAGACATAAAAACACGTATCTACATATTACAACATCAGTAATAATATTATGAAGGAAAGAGTAAATGGACAGAGAAAGGTAAGTGTGTCTATTGCTGAATGGGTGGTCAGGGAAGGCCTCTGAGGAGGTGACATTTGAGTAGAGGTCTGGAAAAGGTGACAGAGCAACCAGGAAAATTTGAAAGTCTCCTCCCCGGGGTTCTCCCCTAGAACATGTGACAGAGACCCTGCCTGTCCCCTTCATCACTGATGCCAGAGCCTAGAAAGTACCGGGTCGACAGGCATTCACTGTGCACGTGCTGAAAGGCCAGGAGGGACAGCGCCGCCACACCATACCTGATGTGAGAGGCCGCTCTGCAGCACGCTGTTCCTGGCGATCTCACACAGGTCACACGTGCTCAGCTTCCACACTTGAGCAGCAATTGCATATTCTTCCATAAGTGCTTCCTAGATTCCCCCAAAAGTGAATGTATTAGATGGCAGAATATCCATTTCAATGCTGCACAGATTTCCAAAGCTACAAACATCAGACATTGCAGATTTAATTTTTCTTTCATGATTGGCACCTGGATAATCAAACAACATCCTCCCCCTAAGATTTTGTGTGTGTGAAATCTCAGGTTACCAGGAGAGATAGATGAAAGAACACCTACGTAGGTGTTTGTTAACAGCACATGTCTGAAGCCCTGTGCTGGTCCTGGGGACACCAGCCTGCTCTTCTGGGACAGTCTCCTGGGTCAGGCAAACCTTTAGTACCTGCTCATGGTTTGTTATTTATTTAACAGACCATTTTTTTAAGATTGTCCAAAAGTCAAAGTTAATCTGGGTACACTACTAAGAGCAGAGATGGAACCTTAAATAAGGAGAAATGATCAGTATCAGCGGTGAGACAGTGTAATCCCCAAAGGATTTGGGTTTGGGCTGTGCTATCACTTTATCTTCTGGGATGTGAAATGTCTGACTAACCCAAGCCCTTCCATTATCCCACTGCCTCTGTATCTCACAGCAGCGGTTCTTAAGATGTGGTCCCAGGATCCCTGGGGGTCCCCAAGGCCTTTTAAAAGGTCCTCCCTTTTCCAAAGATATGTATTTGTAAAGGGGAAGGTTTTCTTCCTATACTTTGGTAGAAACAATTTAGCACAACAGATTGCAGATATGAGAATCCAGCTGTCTTCTATTAAACCGGACATTAAAAGAGATTTGCAAAAATGTAAAACAAGGCCATTCTCAGTATTTTTTTATTTTAGGAAATATGGTTATTTTTCATAAAAATAGCTATTCATGTTAACCTTTAATAGATTTATCACTAGATATAACTCATGCTCTCTGAGGGCCTCAGTTCTTGAGAGTATAAAGGGATCTTAGACCAAAGCTTGGAGAGCCTGTCCTAGAACACTCTGGGACTTCTGTCTTCACTAATCAGTGGCTGTCTTATCAATACCATCAAAATGTGTTTGGCTCACTAATGCTGGTCGCCATGCATGACATTGCCTTTCCCTTCCTCTTCCCTTTCCCCACAGTCCAAAGTGTAATAGTAATAACATTATTGAGAAAAATGGTAGCCAACATTTTGAATACAAGCTATGTGCAGATGCTCTGTTAGGCTCTTCACCATCTTAATGAAGCCTCCTCACACTACAGTTGAAAGGTAGATGTGAGTCAATTTTTCCCCTATTTACACATGAAGAAGAATAAGATACAGAAACATCAAGTAACTGTACCAGCGTCGCGGAGCTAGTAAATCAAAGAAAAGGGAAATAGGGAAAGGCAAGGAAATTGTACCTTCAAGATTTCAAAGCCTCCAAAAGAGGGCTCCTGGAAGAACACTTCCTTCCCTCACCAGGAGCTGACCTGCTGTCTTCCCGGGGCCACTGCCCTCACCCTGACAGCAGAACTGAGCCGTGCACTGCAGTGAGAGGCCAGGCCAGGACCGGTGCCTGCTGGGAGGACCTGCAGTCCTCACCTCCCCTAAAGTCCTCACCTTTGTGTAGTGGAACTGCATGGGGTCGTCGGTGGAGAGGGAAACATGCAGTCCCTTGTGCAGGAATTCCCTCAGAGGGTTTTTGGAGTATTCGAGGAACAGACTGTTGTTGCTAAGAGGAGACATGGCAATGGGGATCTGAGCCAGGTAGTAGAGATACTGCAACACCGGACTCTGCAAGAGAACCACCAAACTCAGGTGACAAGGGCCAGAGAGGGGAGGGTGAGGAAGGTAAGGGTGGGCAGGGAGGGAGGGAGGGGAGAAGCATCATCAGTGGAAGCCAGGGGTCTGAGCAGTGTCTGTGCAAGTCCCCAGGCAAGCCCGAGTTCCCCAAAGCCAGGACATCCCATCCCTCCTCCTTTTCCCCGACCTCAACATTCACCTCATTCCTACATCACATGCCCCTCTCTCCCTGGGTCTGCCCTCCTGCCACTGTTGGAAGTGCTCCCTCTTGCCCCCAAAGTGGAGGCATAGCTCAGGGCAGCTGCATGCCCCAGATGACCCCAACCTGCATACTCAGCTGTCCTCCCCAGGCGCTGACCTCAGTGGTCAGTCTGGAAGATGCCCCACTTGGTGGTTTTGTTGCTTTGACTGCAAACATTCAGGTTGAGGCTATAAACACTCCAGCAGATGGGAAGGGGCAGACCTAACTGGGCTAGAGAGGTTTCTTTGGTACAGTACCCACCCCACACAGAAACGTGACAGGTGGTTAGACCTCCCAGGACCACAGCAGGGGAGCAGTTTGAGCAAACATCGTCCCTGTGGAAGCGATCCAAGCAATGGCACAGACCACATGCACAGAGTTCATGGGAGCATTATTTACACCAGCAAAAAGCTGGTTTTTTGCCCAGCAACTAGAGATGGTTGAATCAAAGATGGACAATCCAAATGGCAGGCCGTCCTTCCAACAGCCTTTAGAATGAGGAGCATACATACGTTGCAGCACAGAAAAATGCTTGTTAAATAAAGTTAAGGGACAAGGAAGGAACAAAAATCTGTTTATTATTATAATAAGCATTTAGAAATATGCTCTGGAAGAAAAAAAGATGGAATAGGAACAACTAAAAAGCTATAAATGGCTGTTTCTATTAAAGCAATAGCAATATGGGTGGGGTTTTTCTTCCCATTTCTCCATTTGTTGGAAATCCAAATTGTGTTATACTTATAATATCACTTTCATAATTAAATATGAAACGAAAATGACTACAGATAGCCCTGCCCAGGAAAAGGCCCAGAGACTCCCAGGGGCAAACGAGCCCGGAGATCCCACTCCTCCTCAGGGGAACCCAGGGCAGGGCTGTCGCTGAAGGCGGATGTCTGTGAATGGCTGGTTACCTTCTTGAGGAGCAGCCCATGGGAAATGTTGTCGGCAGTCAGGAAAGCAGACACCAGGTGGGTGATGGATCCAGCCTCGCCGCAGTGAGGCCGGAACAGGAACGTGCTCAGACCTCGCTCCCTGCAGAACAAGTGAGGCAGGCTCTTGGTCAGCAAGGACCTCTGGTCCACATTGTGCAGGACCCCACAGGCTGGGCCTGCACCCCTAACTCAGGGCCTACTCCAGGGGAGACAGTAACCCAGCTGACATAGGGCACCCTGGAAACTGCCCCTCCGAAAATGCAGAGGCCAGGCCCAATGCCTCAGAGCCAAGGGGCACTATCCCTGGGGCACAGAGGGAGCCCAGTGGTAGGAGGAGACTGCCCTGTCCTCCATCCACTTCTCCCCTCCTCTCTTCACCAGGCCTGCAGCCCAGATTCCTAGACCTTCAGAGCAGGAAAAGCCGTGAGAAATCATTGAGTCCAACTTCTCTGTTACACAAATGGACAAACCCAGAGAACCCAGAGGTGGAGTGAGACATTAGAAGCCACTGAGCAGGTCAGTGGTAGAGCTAGAACTAGAGCCCCATGTCCAAAAGCTCGGCCCAGACTGCCCCCACCCAACACCAGGCCATGTTCTTTCCATCAGAGTCTCATTCAAAACCTCCACCCCACAAACTAGTGAGGCCCCATGCCCAGCAGGGGCGGGAGGGGTGCTAGACTTGCAGAGAGGGGCACGAATGGCTCAGTGTCCTGTGCGCTGGGCGCCTGGCTCCTGCCATGTGTGCCTCATCTGCATGTGTGCCCTGGTGGGAGCCTGGCCTGTAAGACCATTGGGTACAGGCTCCATGAAGGCATGGGCTTAGTCTGCTTTGTTCCCTATAATGTGTCCAGTGCCTAGAACAGTGCCGTTCACGTAGCAGGTGCAATAATTTGTTGCATGAATGATTGCACGTGTGAACACTTGCATGCGTGTTGGACGTCCTATGCTTGTATCATATCAGGTACAGGCAGGTACACATGTAGGTGTTAGTGTGTGTGTGTGTGTGTGTGTGTGCGCACACACATGTGTGTGCAGGCTTGGAGTCTGGCCTCATGGTATGTATGATTGATTGTGCCTATTGTAGTGGGCATGGCTGCCTGTGTACCTGGCCCTGTGTGGGAGGCTGGGGCACGTCCTTGGGTTTGAAGTGTGAGGGCCCATGGCCGTGGGTGCAGGGCAGCTTACCCACCTGCGGAGGTTGTTGAGCACCATGATGTTGGCATACATGTAGTACAGGTAGTAGCTGTAGGGCGGGTTCTGCTCACTGGTCCAGATGTCCGGGTTGGGGCTCTTGTCCGAGAACATGTGGTCGCTGTGCTTGGACTCATCATCCACACTGTCGAACCCTGTCACCTGGGTGGGACGAGGGGCCCTACATCAAGCCAAGGCAGAGGAGCTGCCGGAGGCCTTGGAGGCTGGGCCTCTCAGGTTCATGCCTCAGCTGGGGACCCCAGGGCCAGCCTGAGGCACAGTGCCCCCAGGGGTGGGATGGGGAGTGGGCACAATGCCATCATCTTTCCTCCAGGGCTTCCAAAGGACCCCAGAGGGCCAGACTGGAGCATACTAAGCCCTGTGTGATGGCGGCAATGGCGAGGGGAACTCGGGCCAGGTGAACAGCGAGGCAGCCTTACCCACTGCTCATTCCTCTGCTGTGCCAAGGAGGAGGCCGGCGCTGCAGGGTAGCCAGCAGTCCTGCCATCAGCAGCAGGGACAGCAGCTCTGAGGGGGAAGGGGACAGGCATGTCCCATGCACCTACTATACATTAGGCCCTGCTTGAAGCATTTACCACACATCAACTGATTTAATACTCAGTGGCCCTGTGAGGGAAGGCTGGGCTGCAAGCAAACCAGAACCAAGGCGATTAGCCAGAGACCACAGGCTCTGAGCCTAAATGGGCTCAACATCTGGGCTCCAGGGCTGTAGGTGGAGAGTGCCCAAGGGCATGTCCCAGGTGTAGTCATGTAAAAAACAGCTGGAATGCTTCACAAACAGGCCAAGGTGGGTCCCATCCAATATGGCTTCCTTGGAGGGCTGAGCCATGGCTCTGGGAGGAGGTGGCTCTGCGCACCGCCTCTCCCCGGGAGCTGCCCTCTGAGCCAGGTCAGAGAAGGTCCGGAGACTCCCACCTTCCACTTCAGTTACACCTCGGCTGGGGTCCAGACTATGCCCTGGGGCCCCACCCTAGGCACTGGCTTCCTAGTCACCTGCTCCCAGAGGTCAGGCCCTGACCATAAATGTACCTGTGAGGACACATGTGTGGCAGTTTGCTAACACGTGTCCCTCCTTACACTCAGCCAGAGTGGGGCTCTAGGAAGGGCCCCTGAAAGACTGCCCACTTCTCTCCACACTGGCCCCAGCTGGGTCTGCCAGCCTCTCCCAAAGGAGCAAGAGACCACGAGGGGCTGGGCAGAATCTTCTCCATCACAGAGCCCTATGTGTCAAAGGAACGAGGTCCCCCCCACCCCCCATAGCTCTCGGCATGACCTGGACGGGCATGGGGGACCGGGAGGACTCAAGTTCTGCTCTGTCCCCACTAGCTCCAGCTTCACCGGGACTCTCAAGGCCAGCCCCTCTACTGAACTCTATACCAACGGAGGCAGGGCCTGGAACTGGACCTCCCACAGGCCTCAAGCACAAAATATATACAAACCTTAATTCTTCCTCCTCCTGCTCAAGTCTGCTCTTCCCCCATTGTCAGCAATGGCCCCTGAAAGGCACACTGTCCACCCCCCCAAGACCCCAGGCACCAGGAGGCCCCCTGGACCTCTCCCTGTAGCCCACCTTCAGGCTCCACCCTGTCCTGTCAACCTACACCAGTGATGGCAAACCTATGACACGTGTGTCAGAGGTGACACACGAACTCATTTTTTTGGTTGATTTTTCTTTGTTAAATGGCATTTAAATATCCTATCTAATAAAAGAGAAACATGGTAATTGGCGTACAACCGCTACCCTTCCCATTGGCCAATCAGGGCAATATGCAAATTAACTGCCAGCCACGATGGCGGCCGGCAGCCAGGCAGCTTGAAACTAACATGAGGCTTGCTTGCTTCAGTGACGGAGGACTCCAACGTTCCCCGCCTGCTGCTGCAGGCCTCTGAGCTGCAACTCTAAGCAACTATGTAACAAATATAGAAGCTAAACAAAACCCCAGAAACCTGCTTTAGTCGCGGGCTTCAGCCAGCAGGATCACAACATTGTAAGCAAAGGCCAGATGCCTACTTTCAGCAGTGGAGGCCTAAGAGCTGGAGCCAAGCCTCAAAGCTAAAGCTGGCCCAGAATAAAAAAAAAAAGAAAAGAAAAAAAGGAGCGGTTGGGAGCTTCAGTCACCCCCAGCCTGAAAGCTCAGTCCCTCACCCAGACTGGCCAGGCACCCCAGTGGGGACCCCCACCCTGAAGGGTGTGTGACCAGCTGCAAATAGCCATCATCCCCTCACCCAGGCTGGCCAGGCACCCCAGTGGGGACCCCGACCCTGAAGGGTGTGTGACCAGCTGCAAACAGCCATCATCCCCTCACCCAGGCTGGCCAGGCACCCCAGTGGGGACCCCCACCCTGATCCAGGACACCCTTCAGGGCAAACCAGCCAGCACCCACCCGTGCACCAGGCCTCTAACCTATATAGTAAAAGGGTAATATGCCTCCCAGCACCGGGATCAGCGGAGCCGCGAGGCCTCCCGGCACCGGGATCAGCGTGACGGGGGACAGCGCCCAAACCCCCTGATCGCCCTGTGGCTCTGTGACAGCGAGCGGGGCCACAACCTCCCTATCCACCCTGCTCTGTTCGTGACAGGGGAAGGCACCCCAAACCCCTGATCAGCCCTGCTCTGTGCCTGATAGGGGGGAGCTCCCCAACCCCCTGATCGCCCTGCAGCTGTGTGTGTGACAGGGTGCGGCGCCCCAACCCCCCCACCCCACGGGCCCTGCTCTGTGTGTGACGGGGTAGAGCCATAACCTCCCCATAGGCCCTGCCCTGAGTGTGAGAGTGGCGGCGCCCCAACCCCCTGATCGGCCCTGCTCTGTGGGTGATAGAGGGCGGCGCCCCAACCCCCTGATGGGCCCTGCTCTGTGCGTGACAGGGGGCAGCGCCCCAACCCCCTGATTGGCCCTGCTCTGTGCATGACAGGGTACAGAGCCCCAACCCCCCTGATGGGCCCTGCTCTGTGCGTGACAGGGGGTGGCGCCGCAACCTCCCCATCGACCCTGCCTTGTGTGTGACAGGGGACGGTGCCCCAACCCCCCAATTGGCCCTACCCTGAGCGTGACTGAGGGTGGCATCACAACCTCCCGATCGCCCTACTCTGTGCATGACAGGGGGCGGCGCCCCAACTCCCCAATGGGCCCTGCTCTGAGCCCGACCAGGGGCTGCACCTAGGGATTGGGCCTGCCCTCTGCCACCCGGGAGCAGGCCTAAGCCAGCAGGTCGTTATCTCCCGAGGGGTCCCAGACTGCGAGAAGGGCACAGGCCGGGCTGAGGGACCCCCCTCCCCGCCGAGTGCACAAATTTTTGTGCACCAGGCCTCTAGTATAAAATAAATATCAAAAATATGGTTGCAAATATCAAAAAATTTCTATATGTGACACAGCACCAGAGTTAAGTTAGGGTTTTTCAAAATGCTGACATGCCGAGCTCAAAAGGAGCGCCATCCCTGACCTACACCCAAGCCCAGCACGCTTCCCGGAGTCCTGGCCTGCCTCCCGCATAAGCCACACTTTTCTTACTTAGGAGGCCGTCTGGCATGGGGATAACAACACCTGCTCGGGAGTCAGGCACCTGGATATGAGTCCCAGTTCTGCCACTTTTTCATTTTTATCTCCTCGTGTGTAAACTGGAGCTAGTAGCTTCGTAGGGCTGGTGTGAGGATTAAATGGGACAGTCCCTGGAGGGCGCCTAGCACAGGGTCTGACGCACAGCAAGCACATAATGCTGCTTATTATCAACACAGGGTCCAACACACGGCTAGTACATAACACTCGTATTATTAACACCAACCATGGTGTAAAGTAGGGCAGCCATGAGGCTGAAGCAGGATCGTGTCACATGCGGGCCCCGGAGCAGGCAGCAGCAGTAGCGGGGCTGTATGGCTAGTTCAAGCCCCTGACTGTCTGCTGGGACAGGTCCCTGACTCATCTTGACCCTTTCCCCCAACTCTAGACACCTTCTGTTCCAGGCCACTCACCACACAGCAGCCAGGACGGTGTTTGTCTAAAACATAGATACAGTGATGTCCCTCAGCTTGTTGAAACCCTTTCCTGATAGCCCATCCCCCGGGGCCTCCCCCCTACACACACACACACACACACACACACACACACACACACACATTCACAAACTCAACCACCCCTACCCCATGACCCCAGCCTTCTAGAATCTCCCCTGCATTCCTCCTTGTCAGAAATCTTTCCTAGAACCTCCACCAGATACTGACCTTGCTTCTCACTGTCCTCAGCTACCTCTATGCCAGGCACACAGAGCAAGCGACCAGCACCTGCCCCACTATGCCCTTTCTGGTTAGGTCTCCTACGCCCCTTCTCTCCCTCTCACATGGAACTAAACAGACATGGAAGATAAATATATTGTGTGGGGCTTGTGTGCTTAAGGTGCGAGGGCCGTCTTTCTAAGTAAAAGCAGGAGAGCTGAAATGTCTGTCTCTAAAGAAGCCGGAGGCTGCTGCTTGGTGCTGCTGGCGCAGGACCCAGTCTTTCCAGCCCCACCTAACCAGGCACTGACTCCTCAGTCTACCCTGTGCTGCCCACCCCAGCACCCACCCAAGCCCCAGGGTGCCCCTGAGGAGCCTGGTGGGGCTGGCAACCCCATGCCTGGGCACAGGAGTGACAGACCTGAGAAGGGAAGCCTGATCGGCCCACAGGGAATCCTCCCCTCTCTCCGCCTCCACGCACATCGCCTGGACACCACCCACACTTACATATTTCAGGAAGAGGTGAAGCTCTCGGTGATCTTGGGGGTTGATTGTGGCCTCAAAAAGGGGCAGGAAGATGTTCTCCAGCATCTTTCCAAAGCTTGGCAGCAGTTTCTTTGACCTAAATATGTCACTGGGGAAAGTGAAGACGATGATCAAGGTGGACCCAACAGCCCCCTTGGCCTGTCTGAGATCGACCTCAGTCACTTCCCATTCACACAAAACACCCTGAGTGGAGGCAGAGATGTGGCTTGAGCATTGTCCTTCCCCTCCCCTCCAACTCCCAGCAACATCTGCACTACTAGCATTGGTTGGCAAACTCGGCACCTGCCCAAGCCCCTCTGAGAGCTTTCTCAAACCAGAGGCCACACTGGGAGAAGGGTGGAGGGATTCAGGGTGACCACGGAGATGAGTCTTCCTATTCCCCAGGGATCCAAACTCTCTGCCACTCAGCTCAGTTCCCCTGAAGCACAGGCCCCAGTCCGCCCAGGGGCCATGACCCCCTCCATCAGCCAGACAGCTGGAGAGGACAGTGGTGGTCTCTGAGTCAGATCCAGGGGAGGGCCAGCAATGCAGGCCACCATCAGGTGCCCGACTCCCTGGTGCTCACCCAAAAGGACCTCCGCATCCTGCAGTGAGAAGACAGGCAGCAGTTCCCACCAGGCATTTGCGCACATATGTTCTTTAAAGAGTAAGAGTTTGTCACAAAGACATCCCTGAGCACCCCTTCCTATAGGAAAATCCCCGGGAGAAGAGGCCTAAGTGGGCACTGGAACAGGTCTCAATAGTGCAGACTCAGCGGCCCAGGCGGGACAGGTGGGGGGCCCAGGGGGCACAGGCAGGCAGGGGGCCGCCTCACTTACTAGATCCGGGGCACCTGGATGATCCAGCGCATGTTAGGAGAGTAGACCTTGTGCTGGATGAACCAGTGGGCCAGGTTGAGCCACTCATCGGGACTGCGGCCGTAGATGGAGAGCCTCGGCTCTGAGTACTGGTACTTGCTCTCCTCCAGCTCCCGGGCCACCTCCTGGGCACCAAGAAGAGCTCAGGTCAGGCCACGAGCACCCCGGCTGCTGGATCCTGCAGCTCCCTCAGCCACCTGCTCCCAGGCTGGGGAGGCCTCATCTACATCACCTGGCTGCCAAGCAAGTACTCACTCGCCTCAGCAGAGGCTCCTTCCTGGAGAGAAAGGCCTTGGGTCTGCACCATCACAGCATAACCAGGCCAGGCAGCAGACACGGCTCCCCAGGGAGCTCAGCTGCTCCCAGCCAAGCTCAGGCTGCAAATAGACAGGGCAGCAAGGCTGGACGCTGTGAATGCTCTCAGGGTGGACACCCTCCTCCTCCTCTTGCCCACAGTCCACACAGTGGACACATTCAGCACCAGCCTGTCCACACTCGGGGCTGACAGCCGGGGCCAGAGCACTGGGCCCCTGAGCACCTGAGCTCGCCGGAGCTGGATGGTGGGTGGGCAGGGATTCGGGAAGGAGAAGATGACAAGGAGGCCAAACGCAACCCCCTTCTGAGGGCAGATGCTGGCAGGTGTCTGAGGAGGGCTTGGAGAGGCTGCGGGCCCACTCACCTTGACCATCCGAGCAAAGTACTCTCCTCCCAAATAGTTTTCCGTTTTCAAATACAGGTCACGCAGCTCACTGGCCCCCACAGGATTGTATTTAGAGTTGAACTTGTCGAAGCGGTGGAATGTCTGCCGGCCCTGGAGAGAGGGGGCCACAGCCAGATTCACCACTTTGTTCTACGGCCACCACAGCCATTTCCCCTCTCCAGGCCTTTACAAGGTGGTCTGAAACAGAGCCACACTGAAAGGTCTTCTCTGTCAGTTCTTGCATAAAATCAAAATGTGCTGGGGCCAGGACCATGCATCCTCACTCTGTCAGCCTTGGGGTCCTTTTTGGGGGGCCCTTGGTGAAGGAGGACCAGGGCATTGTGCTCTAAGCTGCTATGGCTAAAAGCATGGCTGGCTGAATGAGCAGAAGATGCTAAACTATTGAACGATCAATAAAGTGTGCCCTGACCAGCCAGTGTGGCTCAGTGGCTGAGTGTCAACCTATGAACCAGGGCACATACTGGGGTTGCAGCTCAATTCCCTGTATGGGGCATGTTACTATCTCTTTTTCTTTCTCCCTCTCCCTTCCTCTCTGAAATCAATGAAAAAAATATTTTTAAAAAAATAAAAATAAAGTATGTCCTATTACTAGTTAAATTTCATAATGCACTTTCTCCACCTTATCGCATTCAGTATTTTGTTTGTTTATGCAACAGATTTTTTTATTATAACACAACATTTACCATCATAACCATTTGTAAGTGTACAGTTCAGTGGTATTAAGTACATTCATATTGTTGTACAACCATCACCACCATCCATCTCCAGAACTCTTTTCATCTTGTAAAACTGAAATTCTGTACCTATCCTATATAATAAAAGGCTAATATGCAAATCAACCGTATGGTGGATTGACCTGTCACTATGATGCACACTGACCCACCAGGAGGCAGATGCTCAACACAGGAGCTGTCCCCTGGTGGTCAGTGCACTCCCAAGGGGAGTGCTGCTCAGCCAGAAACCAGGCTCAGGGCTGCTGAGTGCAGCAGTGGTGGCGGAAGCCTCTCCTGCCTCCACGGCAGTGCTAAGGACCCTTCTCAGGGAGCAGGCCTAAGCCAGCAGTCGGACATCCCCCTAGGGGTCCTGGACTGTGAAGGGGTGCAGGTTGGGCTGAGGGACGCCCCCTCCAGTGCACGATTGTCATTCACTGGGCCTCTAGTTAAACAATAACTCCCCATTCTCTCTTCCCCCAGTCCCTAGCAATCTTTTTTTTTTTTTTTTTTTTTTTTGTCCCTAGCAATCTTTATTCTCCTTTCCGTCTGGATGAAATTGCATATCCTATGTACCTCACACAAGTGAAATCATACACTACTTATCCTTTTGTATATGGCTTCTTTGACTTAGCATAATGTTTTCAAGGGTCATCCACATTATGGCAGATGTCAGCACTTTATTCTTTTTCTTTTTTAATATATTTTATTGATTTTTATTTTTTACAGAGAGGAAGGGAGAGGGATAGAGAGTTAGAAACATCAATGAGAGAGAAACATCGATCAGCTGCCTCCTACACACTCCCTACTGGGGTTGTGCCCGCAACCAAGGTACATGCCCTTGACTAGAATCGAACCCGGGACCCTTGAGTCCTCAGGCCGACGCTCTATCCACTGAGCCAAACCAGTTAGGACACTTTATTCTTTTTTAAGGCTGAAAAGTATTCCATTATATGGATACACCACATTTCGTTTTTTCATTCATTTATTGATGAATCCTTGGGTTGCTTCTACCTTTGGGGCATAGTGAATAATGCTGCATTGATGTGTAAGTATCTGTTTTAGTCTCTGCTTTCAGTTCTTTTGGGTACATACTTAGGAGTGGAATTGCTGAGGAAACTACTTACTATGTACCTGCACCATCATTTAGTATTTTAATAACTTTGAAATGTCAATAGGCATGTTGCATTAAGCATTTTATAGGCAAGGAAATTAAAGCTTGAGTGAGTGGCTTAGGGGCACACAACTGCTAAGTGACGGGAGTGGAAATAGAACTGGGACCTGCCTGACTCCATGTTGCATACTCTTGTCCCCTGGCCCAGGGTTGCTCCCAGCCAGTTATTCTGAGGCCAAATTATCTCTCACAGTTGCCATGGCTAGAAGAGAAAGCTGCTTGCACAGTCAGCCTCTCTCCAAGCACAATCATGGCTTCTTTTCAGGCGGCTGACTCCCCAGCCGGCTGCCTAAGGCCCCGGGGCGGAAGCTCACTCACCGCGTGGACGTCCAGCGAATCCACAGTGAGGTCGTAAGGGTCCATGTTCAGGCTGTCGAACACCTGCCGCAGGGTGATCTTCTGGCCCTGCTTCTCGGCCACGATTCTGTCCGGCTCCGTCTGGTACGTGTGCTTGATAAAGCGCAGCAAGTGCTTCTGATTCATGCAGGCAGCCGCGTGGATGTGCGTGTCCACCTGCAACACGGCACCCCCCAACCCGTGAGCCGGGCTGCCTCCTCTGGCAACAAGAGTTAGGACGTCCAACCCTTAGGGTGCCGCCTGGATGCCCCCTCCCCACTTCTTCTCTAGACTTTGGAACTGGTCTCCCTCCAGCCTTGCTGCCCAATTCACCTCCTTCCAGCATCTAGAAATCTTTTTAAGCTGTAGATTGGATCCGGCTACTTCTGTTAACGAAACATCAGTGCCCCTCGCGTCTTCAAGATTAAGCTCAAGCTCCTTAGCCTGGGATTCCAGGCTTACATCAAACCTTACCTCTCCCCTGCCAGGGCCCTGCTTTATGCTCCAGCCACGCCACACCATTGCCAGGTGCCCCTGGCACCATGCTATTCCACACCACATCTTTGCCCATGCGTGTCCTCAGCCTGGCATTCCTTCTTTTTTCCTCGTCAATCTCAGCCACCTGAAAACTTCCTAAAACCTCCTCCATTTGAAAGCTAGTCCTGATCCCCCAAGCACAGCTGATGAGTCTCCCTTACCCAACCTCGGGAGCCGGCACAGACTCTCCCTGTACTGTACATGTCCTCTGATCCTCACCAATATTTTCCTGGCTCCTCCCTCACTAGACAGGACAGGGACCATGTCCAGTGCATGGAAGTCTCTAGAGCAGTGGTTCTCAACCTTCTGGCCCTTTAAATACAGTTCCTCATGTTATGACCCAACCATAAAATTATTTTCATTGCTACTTCATAACTGTAATGTTGCTACTGTTATGAATCGTAATGTAAATATCTTATATGCAGGATGGTCTTAGGCGACCCCTGTGAAAGGGTCGTTCGACCGCCAAAGGGGTCGCGACCCACAGGTTGAGAACCACTGCTCTAGAGCCTGGTACAATGTATTACTTAAATCAGTGGATGGCCAAATAAACAAATGAACTGGTAAAATAGGTTCCAATAATTTTGATGATGTCCATATCCTCATATAATCTCAAGGCCCATCAACTGTCCCACAAAATCCCATTCTACCCACTGACCTCTCTTGAGCCTTCCATTCAGATGCCAGCCCCAAAGAAACAGAGCCCGAGCTAAGCTGCGGATAACCTGAGCTCACAGTGGGCATCCTGGTCCCCCTTCCAAGAGCCCAAAGGACCTAAGGGAGGTTCGTGGGGAGGGTGGCAGCAGCTCACAGGCCAGAGTGCAGCTGGCTGCCACGCCACACTCTGCAGTTACTACTGCGGCTGACTGGGCACTCTGCCAGGGCTGGGGTGAAGAGGCGGCTGACCTCAGGCCTGGGAATGCTGTCCCGCTGACCGGGCATCACCAAGTCATGCCAAACCAGACATTTGATCCACTGAACCTCTCTGGGCATTATACCAGGCAGCCCATGTTGTTGGCCACATCACTCACTCATCAAGGCCCTTCCTGCCATTAATCCAGAAAGACAGACCACTAGACATCAGAGAAATGCAGCCATTCAAAGCACCAAAAGCACCGTGTAAAGGCTCAGACACCTCAGGGCTGAGCTGGGCTCATGTGGAGGCACAAAAGAAGGTCAGCTTGGCTCAGTCCAAAAGAAGGTTACCACCTCAGCATGACTCAGCACATTCTGGGGTTTCTGGTCGTGTCCTCCAGCTTACCAGTGACACACTGCAGGGGGTACAGTCTGTCTTTACCCCCCTGAGTCACAAGATGAGGAAGGAAAACAACTGGACCACCCAGGAAGCATCCACACTCCAAAATCTCCAAGACAATTGTTTTTGGAACAAGTAAAAGATGTCAGTGTTTTCAATTCATCCTAAGATCCAAATGCATTCCTTCTTTCATCTAACACCCAGGTCTAGTAAACAAACATTAGAGTTTCCAAACAGGGCTGGCCAAACCTGGCTCCTGAGCCAACACTGACCATTCCATACCCATGGTGGACACCAATAATCGATCACAGCACTCTTTTCACTAAGCTTTGGGAGCAGCCTGAGGTAGCCACTCCCAATTGGTTGTTTGGTACAGAAGATGAAACCTATTTGCTACCCTTGATATGACACTTAAGCCAGAGTGAATATGGCCTAATTCTACCCAACTCCTAAGCAGCAAACACACTCAGCCTCTCATTCTTAGCTCTGAGCGGAAACCAGTTGTCTCAGTTACACAGCTGCTGGCCTCATGATGTCGTAACCCATGACCTGCTGCAATGTTGCAGGTGCTTTCACAAATACTGCCCACATCATGGCCATGCACAGCTCCTGGGAGCCCGGCCCTAGCGTGCCCCCAGGACTCTGCCAGCCACCTCGGGAATGTGGAGGCCACCCTCCCAGCCCAGCCTGGATTTCAGAAAGCCAGCTCTCCCCTCATAGTAGATGCTTCCAGGGTAAGATAAAATAGCCAGCTCCCAGAAGGCGGGGAGGGGCAGGCACAGGCCTGAACTCAGAGCAGACCTGGATTTATGGACTGACTATGGGGCCAGAGAACAGGTGATTGCGTCACAGCACAGGGGTCAAGGCCATCTCTGTCCAGACAGCACATTAACCCCAGAGAGACAAGGAACCCTGAGGATGGGCTCTGGTATGTAACACAGCCCCATAAGGACTCTCCCACATTGTGGCTATAGAGCAGCTGGTTGGCCCAGGAATACCCACTGGGCCCCGCCTCAGAAACCAACAGTGTGGGAACCAGTGCTGTCAGCAAGGCCACCTCGGCCCCAGGCAACAGGAAGCAGTCAGACCCAGAGCATATGCGTCCAGAGGGCAGGACTGCATTGAGCTTGGACACTCATCTGGGCCTGTGCTGGACATGTGGGTGCATCTGGGCAGGGCTGAGAGGAGCTGACAGAGACACGGAGGCACCCATCTGTATGAACACCCAGGTTCACAGAGAAGGAACAAATGGTGCTTGGAGGTGAAAATGCCAGGTAGGTGGTGTCTACGTACATCCATTCGCCTCTGTCTGGAAATCCCCAAACACTTCCAGAAGCCTCACAGCCCAGGAGCTGAAGCCAAACTCTCATTTCTTAAGGATCCCATCCAAGTGGGAGTCCATGCCAGACTCCATGATGCTTAACAGACAGGACCCTGAGGCTTCCCCAGATGGAGCCTTCCGTCTCCCATTGCTGAGTGCTGCCCACCTGAGCTGGGCTTTCCCAGAGGATCCACATCCTCCCTGAGCCCACCTACAAGAAGTGACTCTTGTTCAACAGCAAATGCCCCATGCTTAGCACTACTCCCTTGCTTCACTGTATATTAGTTAAATGGAAGAAAATGGAAAAGCCAGAAACTGAGATCATTTACCACCTGAGTCCAGGCCAAGCCCTCTCATCCACTCTAGAGAGAGGCAGAGGGGGAGTACATACTTTTCTTTAAATACACTTGATTCCAAAGGAAGCAAAATCTGGAACTCTCAAGTCCAAAGAGGTCTTAACAGTCTTTTCTCTCCGTGATGAATTTAATACATCCTCTACCTTAAAAATAACCTGGCCTCCACTGATGACCAATGAACAGGTCATGCCTATTTTCCAAGGTAGAGGACACATTTCAACAGATGCACAACATGGGTATCACGTACCATCTGGGGCATGATGGCCTGACACACAGAAGGCAGCACGCTGGTCTTCCTTCTGCACAAACGCATCACCTGCTCTGGCCAAGGAAGGCCACCCAAGGGCACCGGCCCCAGACCGACTCAGGGCATCCCTGTGGGCTAGAAGAGCGATGGGAAGGGGTCTGAACCCCGGCCCAGAAACACACCTTTCTCACATTATAGAAGTCTCGGTGGGGGTTACTCTTCAACTCTTTGAACTCAGACATCTCATTTAACATCTCGTGAAGGCTGAACTTGGATTCCAGAAAGTTCAGTCGCCGGTGACAATATGTTTTCCTGCAGGTTGGAAAGGGAGAGAAACCATAGTTGAGAAGTCTCATCGAGCTCTCCGGTTTGGAGACCTCCAGGGTCTGCAGGGACCCACCCTCAAGTGGAAGGTCAGGATGGCGCAGGGAGGGAGGAGGTCCCAGCTCTCTACAGACCCAGCTGAAGGAGCTATGTACCCACATCCCTGTGCCCTGAAGTAAATGAGCAGCTGATACAGGGCAGTGGCGCTGACTCTGCAGCCTCATACAGGTTCTTTGACTTCTAGCTCTGTGCTTAGGCAACGGCTCTTGAGCATCTATTTCCCAGGAACAAGTAAGACGCTGGTAATGCCCAAGATTAACGGGAGGGTGAAACGGGTTTATGCATGTGAAGTGGATGCTCAATAAAGTCTCCCTCCTTGACTGCTTCCTTTTCTTTTCCTCCCATCTATCCTCAGCCGCCTTTAATTCTTTGAAAGGAGTTTAACTTCTTCCTAGGAGATTGGTAATACAGTCAAACTCTCAGGCGTGACCTGCCCATCTTGGCCAGCTCCCAACCCCGAGACCCAAGGACCTCTCAGCTCGGAGGTTTCATTGTGGGCAGATGAGGAATGTAGAGATGTCTGTTACTAGGACAGAAATCTCTGCTCTGACTGATGCCCCCACCAGCTGGCAAAAAAGCCATTGGGGAGAATGGGGGAGTCCCCTGCTCAAGGCCAGCTGCCAGCCCACACCTAGCCTGGATGCCTGGCCACGCGCCTGTGCCCACAGCCACACAGAACCTTCAGCCACAGTTCATGCCACATGCTTCCTTGTGCCCGCCCCCACAAACAGCAGCTCCTTTAGCATCCAATCACTCAGACTTTCATAAAGAGCGGCTGTGGCCCCTGGAACAGCATGGTCATCTGCCAGTCAAGATGAGCCCCAGAGAGGAGTGCAGGAGTGTATCGGGTCACCAGGGATTTCAAAGATCACCTTGAGGAGGAAACTGGTCTAAAAACTGTGAACAACGCACTGCCCTGGGGCGGGGGGAAGGTCATTATCGCTGGCCCCAGGACAGATCATTGTATCTGGGGACCTCAACACCTGGGGCCCTTCCTGTAAGCCTGCAGAAAAGGGGTGGAACCATATCTGCAAGACAAAGACCCCAGAAGGTTATAAAAGGTGAAGCCCTCTTCGTGTTTCTTCACTCTGATTTGGAAATTATTCCCGGAGTCCACTAGTGTTAATAAACGGGGTCCCTCCCTTTCTCTAGGAAGTGTGCCTGGTATTTCTTTGGTCTTCTGTAACAACCTCACACAGTCCCTCTCCCCAGTAGGATTCACCTTAACAGCCTCCCAGACAGGATGGCCACTGAGCACACACCCTCAGCCGCTTTCCCTCAAAGCTCCTCCCTTTGGCTGAAGTGAGCCTTCCAGGAACTGTCCCTCCCCTCTTCCAGGTCTTATCTGCCCTCAGATCAGGGAGGAGCAAGACCCACCTGCCCATCCCCCTCGGGCCCACTCTCCTCCCTTGGAGACTGGCCTCACACTCATTCCCAGTAAAACCCAAAAGGCAGGGCAAGAAAGAAGTTCCTCAGTGGTGACCAGCACCCTCTCCCTCCCCGAGACCCCTAGTCCTGCCTGGGCACACCCAGCACAGCCACCCAGGGTCCAGTCATGCTGCACTTCCATTGCTGATTAGCTTAAGTGCTCACCAAGAAGTGAGGGGCCAAAGTCAAGAAGACAACTGCCTGCCAGGTTAACAAGAGCCAAGCCCACAAGCATCATGGGGGTTGTGGCACAGGGTTCCCAGGCTCCCTGCACTCTCCCCTCCAGAAACACAGAAAACCCAGCACCTGAAGCAACAGCCTTGACCGCTCCTCGACCATCTACAGGAATGCCCTGGGCTGGTGACTGTGCAAGGCAGTCATCATGCCTGGGAGCAGAGTGATAGCCATCCTAAGGTGCACAGGTGGCCACCAGCAAACAGGAGCTCCACACCTACGCATGCAGGACAGGAAATACCAACTCTAATACGCCAGCCTGTGATGGAAAACTGTTGCAGAAACCCACAGGGCACGGGGTAGAGGGAAACCACTCTCTTTCTGGGGTGGTTTAAGTGTGAGAATACCCAGAGCACAGGGGTGACCTAGATGGCTTTTCCCAGCCCCCTCCCTACAGAATAGCACCCACGCCAGAGAGGCAGACTGGGGGGCAGCTGGCTTACGTGGGGCCATCAGTGATGAGGGCCAGGATGTGGCTCATGTCCACTGTGTAGGTCTCCAGGTCGGGGTAGGGCAGGCTGTGGGGCTCCTGGCACTCCAGCATCTTCTCGTCGTCGTACACGAAGAGGATGCCCCCCTGCATGCGGACCAGGTAGCCCAGGTTGGGGGGAGCATCATCTATACGGTAAGGGTCTTCCTGGGGCAGTGGGAGAGGGTGGAATTCTGCAAAACAGGATTGAGCGATGGCAAAGTGCCCTTGACCTCATGAGCTCACGTGGGCTCCAAAGGCACATTCTCAGTGAGGCTTGTTCTGGTCATCCCATACAAAAACCACTACCCCCACCCCCACCCCGCCCACCCTGGCATCTCACACCCTCTTTCCCGCTTGACTTTGTTTCCTTAGCACCTATGACTATGTAAAATAAGTTCACTTAGTTATCCTGGGTGGTATATGTTTGTCTGGTTCGTTTCTGCATCCCCATTTCCTAGAATAATCCCTGGTACGTGGCTGGCAAGTTTTTAAAATTTAACTGAAATGAGCTGAAGACTCCTGGGCACTTCAGCGCCACCAGGTGCACTGAAAAGGGCAGCTGTGTCCTCTCCTAATAAGACAGCACCTGGGACTGCCCCGAGAGCACAGCTATCCCTGTCCTCCCACAGCTTCCTGGGTCCAGGGCAGCTGAGGGGTTAAGGTGCCCCCCACCCCCAGAGGAGCACAGAATAAGGCTGGTCTCCCACAGAGCAAGGAATGCCAGCCGCTATGGGTTGAGTTGGGCCATGGTGGGCAGGAAGCTATTCCTGGCTATTGCCCAGCTATGAGACACGAGCAAACCACTTTACCTCTGATCCTGTCTGCTCATCTGAGGATGACACACCCTGCCTTCACAGCTCACTGTGAGGGCTGCAAGAGTGGGTATAGGAAAATGCTTTGTAAATAGCAATGCCCAACATGTAAATTACTGGGCATTATTCTCATAATGTCTTTTCCTGACTCTTGCTAAGCTCTGTCTCTGGCCAAGGAACAGGTTATGCTTCACAGCAGTGGAACTGGGGGCTTCTGCTCTGCTCAGAGTCCCTGAGATGTGCCAGTGGCCTGTGAGATGCCAGCAGTACGAAGGCCTGGGTGAAGCCACAGCCCCCACCCAGTACACTCATGCCAGGACCCCTGGGCGCTCTGCTTTGTAGAAAGTACAAATTTGACAGTCATTCCTGCCGGCCTTTGCCAAAAATGGGGCAGGTGTGATCAACTTCCCTCAGACAAACAGGGAAATGGGTGCGAAGGGCTGAGATTTACCCAGGGCCCCTGGTGGTAACAGATACTCAAAGTCCAGGTCTCAGAGCTTCAAGGAGGCCAGAAATGGCACCAACTACACCCAGGGAGCAGCCTGGGTCATGGGCACTGGCACAGACCATCAGGCCCTTACTGGATCCCACCCCCCCCCGCCACCACCACCCCCACCAACTTTCAATATCGAGGTTTCCTGTGGTGCTCATTCATCTCACAGCCTCTACTGCTCCTGGGTCCTTCCCCGGCCGAACAGAGCCCCCCAGAAATGATCCTGCCCTCGCCAACCTCCCAAACCCACAGCGTAAACCAGCTTCCATTTACTGAACACTCACTGGGTGCCAGGACTGCACTCACTGCCTCACATTCATTCCTTCATGCAATCCTCTCAGCAGGCCCAGGTGACAGGTACTATTAGTATTCCCATTTTACAGACTGAGAAACTGAGGTTTGGAGAAATCTTTGCCCAAAAAAGTGGCAGAGCTTAGATCAGACTACAGGTAGGTTTGACCCCCGAGCCTACCTCCCCTATCCCAGAACATGCCTCCTATAACTTACCTTCACCCCCGCCCCCCCACACACACACACTAATTTGGCATTTAATGTCTGATCATGTTTTTTAAAATACCCCACATGACTGCCTGTCTCCCTGGAAAACTCCCAAGGTCCAGACTTTCATCTCTCTCCTAACTTCCACAGCTCAGTTCTGTGGGGGGTGAAGCCAGCACCCTGCCCTTACAACACCATCCGGGGGAAACAGATCCAGCTAGTAAAAAGTCCTGGCCAACTCCTGGACCATGCCCACTTGGAACCCCACCTGCAGCCACAGCACCGTACCTGGGAAGCCCTCCCCCGGAGAGGCTGCATCCACCCGTGAATGGCCCAAGTACTGGGCTGTGGTCCGTGGGAAACGGTGATAGGCAAGCCGGGCATATTTCTCCCGGATCATCAGGGCCTTGGCCAGGCTCTTGGCGGCCTGCTCATAGTCCTCCACGGTGATCTGCAGAGGAAGGTGTGCAGGAAGAGTTGGTGTAGCCGGCCTGAGACCACTGTCCTTAGCAAGACCTGCTGCACGGCTGGCCCTTGCTGGCAGCTGGGAACCGGGTTTCGGGAGCATTCCCACCATTCCCTGACTTGTAAGAGTGGTTCATTGTGCTGCTTGCACAAACAGGGTTATGCTGAACACCTGATTTCCTTCTGGGAGTCTGGAATGGGGGGATGTGCTATGCAGGTGTGAGACCAGCCTCAATAAAAGCCTTGGGCACTGAGTCTCTCATGAGCTTCCGTGATAGATGACACTTCACACGTGTTGCCACCCTCTGAATTAAGTGTGCTGCGGTGACTCCGCTGGGAGGCGACCTCCCCTAGCCTCTGCCCCGGGGACCTGCCCCGGGGACCTGCCCCTGGGCTGGTTTTGCTCTGTATCTTTTCGCTGTCATGAATCCTAGTCAGAGTACAGCTGCGTGCTGAGCCCCAGGAGTCCTAGCAAACCCCTGACCTGGGACAGTCTCCTGGACCCACACAGGAGGAGAGTTAGTAGGGAGGCAGGTACTCCGCCGGCACACCCCCAGCCAGCCTCCAGTGCTGCTGATTAAAGCACAAGCCTGCGGCCGCACCCAGCACACAGAGGCAACGCCTGGACCGTGTCCCTCACGAGGGTGAGCGTCTTCGCTGTCAGCTGATGGGTCCTTTGGAGGCAATAATAAAAACATCTGCCTGCTCACTCCGCTGCTTTGCCGCCCCCAGGCTCTCACCCAAATTCACCAGCCACAAGCATGTAGGGACCGATCTCGTGTGCTAGACCCTCTCCATAGATTTCATTGGGTCCTCACTGCAACCTGTTTTACAAATGGGGGAACCGAGGCCCAGCAAGGATAAATCACGCACCAGGAAGTCACAACATCAAACTGCAGAGCCTGATCTGACTGATTCCCAAAGCCCAGGGATGTTCTGCATTCCCAGAGCTGCCTCCTGTTGAAAGACGAATGAGATAAACTCCCACCTCATCAGTCTTAGCCAGTTTGGGAAGGATGTGTGGGGCAGAATCTGAATGCGCTCGGGAGATGAGCAGCTAAACTGTCATAACAGCGGATATGTGACAGAGCAAAGGGCGCACGAGATGCGGGTGAGAGGAGCGTGGAGGGCTGAGGCCTGAAAGTGTCCTCCTCTGCTTTAATGAAAAAATCACTTTAGTTTTGAAACATTTTAAACATACAAACAAGCACTGGCAGACACCCAGAGCTAACAATTTCAGTATTTTTTCACCATGGTTTCGGATCTCTTATAGGTTTGAATAAATAAATCATCACAGATGCAGCTAAAATTCCCCCTCTCCCCCTTCTCTCCTCCCCTGGCTCAGTCCTCAGAGGACCAAAACTGGCATATCTTTTCCACGCATGTTTTTATCCTTTTACTAAATGGTACTCCTTGCTTTTGGCTAAGGAAGTAGCTTTCCCTTTCCTGACTCCAAGTGTCCCCAGGAAGGTGTGTCAATTCCATTTTAGCCCTTCCAGGTGGCTTCTGAGAGCAGCAGGAATAAATAAGTGAGCAGACACAACGCCTTAGCCAGCGGTTCTCAACCTGTGGGTCGCGACCCCTTTGGGGGTCGAACGACCCTTTCACAGGGGTCGCCTAAGACCATCCTGCATATCAGATATTTACATTACGATTCATAACAGTAGCAACATTACAGTTATGAAGTAGCAACGAAAATAATTTTATGGTTGGGTCACAGCATGAGGAACTGTATTTAAAGGGCCAGAAGGTTGAGAACCACTGCCTTAGACAAAGGCAAACATGCTGTCTGCAAAACCAATGGACCCAGCACAGCCAGGGGCTCAGGCCACAGCTGAAGATGTCCAAGGGGGTACTCAGGGGACCAGGAAACACCAGCCAACTTGTAGGCACCGCAGGCCTCATGTCTGACAGCAGACCCATGGGGGCCAAGGAGATCTGCAAGGTCAGCCTGCCTGACATAGACTTGTAGCTCTCTGGGACCAACTGCCCATAGGCTCCATGCCCTATGACATGCCAGCCAGGAGACTGACTGAAAGAAGCTAGTTAATGCCCCAGGCAAGTGGTCGGCAAACTCATTAGTCAACAGAGCCAAATATCAACAGTACAATTGAAATTTCTTTTGAGAGCCAAATTTTTTAAACTTAAACTATATAGGTAGGTACATTGTTATTAACTAATTAGGGTACTCCTAAGGCTTAGAAAGAGCCACACTCACGGGGCCAAAGAGCCGCATGTGGCTCGCGAGCCGCAGTTTGCCGACCATGGCCCCCGGCCAATGTCCTCCCATTCAGCTAGCTGTCAGCCCACCTCGACTCTCCCTTTCCACTGCTCTGCCCAAAGGCCATCGGCTGGGGGGACATAGGACAGGAAGCTGCGTCTTCAGACAAGGCCTGCATTGCTTCCAATCAACCAAAATTCCCATCCATGGGCACATGAGTAAGATAGCATACATCGCACAGTGGAAAACTATGCGTTAGTAAAAAAGAGCAAGGATGCCCTAGCTGGTTTGGCTCAGTGGATAGAGTGTTGGCCTGCGGACTGAAGGGTCCCAGATTTGATTCCGGTCAAGGGCACATGCCTGGGTTGCGGACTCGATCCCCAGTAGGGGGTGTTCAGGAGGCAGCTGATCAATGATTCTCTCTCATCATTGATGTTTCTATCTTTCTCTCCCTCTCCTTTCCTCTCTGAAATCAATAAAAATGTACTTTGAAAAAATAAAATGACAATTTGCAGGTGTTTGGAATGTTTGCACTGTTGCTGGTAGCAACTTTAAGATAATTTTTTTAAAAAAAGAACAAGGAAGTTCTTTAATGATATGGCATTATCTCCAAGAGGTACTGTTAAGTGAAAAAAAGCTAGGCTCAGTTATATTAAGTGTATAGTAAACTACCGTTTGTGTACAAATAAACGAACCATGTGTATATAATTAATTGCAGGTACACCGGCCAGGTATGTGAGAACACACAAGAAATCAAGCCAAGGGCTGCCTCTGAGAAAGGGAACTGGGTGCTGGAGAACTATATAATTTGGGTGTGTTTTTTTATATTTTGTACCATATGCAAGGATTCTCTATTGCCCCCAAAATAATATATGTTGTTATGGCTAGGGGGAAATGTGTAAGAAGAGTCGTAAGCCACTTTGCTTTCTCTGGTATAGTATATATTCTAAAACTACCGTGAAAAAGGAAAGAGAAAGAGAATAACACGGTCAAGTAGTAGGCACAAGTAGTAGGTTGAGGGCCAGGGAGACAGAACCAAACTTAACCCCAGCACTAACTTCAGTGATATTTCTCTTTCTGAGTAAGCAATAAAAATGCATCCTCCTACCAGCTGAAATTAGCACATTTTCAGTGACTGAGTTAACTGACTTGGTGTGTACATCAGCTCATTCACTTCCTCATCAGCACCCTCTCTTCCTGGCTGGAGGGCTAACCTATATCTAAGGAAGCTGAGAGAGCCGAATCAGCAAACCAATCAACAACAGGACTTTGAATCCATTCAATATCTGGGAACACTAAAGGGACACCTTCCTCAATGGGCTTCAGGGCAGAGAACACAGGGAACTGATAGGCCAAGGGCACAGCATGTCAGCTCACAGCCCAGGCCCTCCTCACAGGAATGGACAGCACCCTAGACACCCATACCCCACAACCTCAGCCAGGACCTTCCTTTTCTAATTCCTATACCTCCTGCCCACTGCCAGACACCTACAGACTGGGCCAGGCTTCAGGGCTGGGCATAACCCAATGGCCCAACGGGCTCTGGCCTCTGCACAAGGCACATCCCACCCTCACGCAGCCCCCAGGGGATCCCACGGAGAGGGAGAGTAGGGCGAGTGGGAGACACCTTACCCCAGCACAGTAATCTCCGCTGATGGTTACCCGCTGGTACTCGGGCATGGCAAAAGGTGCTGGTGCAAGCTGGCAAGTGGCTCCAGGGGGCACAGGTGTTGCAGGAGACATGGCTGGAGTGGTTGTCGGGGGGCCCTTCCAATCTGGCTGCGTTGGCATTTGCAGAGACAGGGACTGGGACCGAATCATCTTGAAACTTTTCTTTCTAAAAGCCAAGCACAAGGAAAAGGGGGAGATGTCAGTAGCTAATTTGGGCAAGTGATAAAGAGTCTTGTTATACCCGTGGCAGGAGAGTTTTGCTCTGATTCATCACTGATGTTGGTCTTACTGTTAAGATCTAATTAGTTATGGTTTCCTCTTAAACACACCTGCGTAAGATACAAAACAGCCATCCAGACACCCATCGCTGTGGTCACTAAGAATGGTCATGGGCTGTTTGCTCTGTGAAGAAGAGGACAGACCATCCTGCAGGGGTCTAACCCCGAGGACAGAAGAGGACAATACCATGTCAACCAGCACGCTGTCTTCAGACAACCCAAAGTCTAAGTCCCAGTGTATGACAGTCTCAGGAAGGACTATGAGCAGGGTCACAGAGAGAAGTGACACTATTTCCCAGAGTTGGAAATCTGGAGCATTGGCGCCAGAAGACATCAAGACCAGGAACCAGTCACACCTCATTGTTTCATAAAAGTCAGGGACCCAGAGATAGAAAAGGGCTTACTCAAAGTCACAAGGCAAGGTGGCAGCTAGCCCTGGGCCTCCTCCCTCCCTGGTACCTGCTCCACCCTGTTACCCCGGCTGCTCCTTCCTCGAGGCTGCCATGAGCCTTCCTAGCTGCTTCTGCCTGGCAGGCACAGACCTGAGTCTATTATGGAAAACTGATTAATCAGCATCAATTTCAGGTCCCTCTGGACCCGTCACCTTGGCACCAATAGATGACTTTACAAACTCGTGGAGAAGTGGGCACAACAAGGTCAGTTTGAAATGCTACATCTCGCTCGCCCACCCGACGTGGCTCAGTGGTTGAGCATCAACCTATGAACCAGGAAGTCATGCCAGGGTTATGGGCTCAATCCCCAGTGTGGGGCATGCAGGAGGCAGCCGATCCATGATTCTCTCTCATCATTAATGTTTCTATCTCACTCTCACTCTCTGAAATCAATAAAAATATATTTTTTTAAATGCTACATCTCATGCCTATTTGCAATGCTGATTTGTGAATACTCACCTTCCTCATTAACTAAAATAGTAATGTTTCCAATGACAACATCCCAAGTCCTAGGATCCCAGGAAGGGAATTAACAGCAGTGAGGCGAGGCCCTGAACACTCCGCTCTCTCTTGTCTCTCTCTGCCTCCCTGGCATTGCCACCCCGTGGTGTCAGAGCCTACAGCCACCAGCAAAGGACTGGGTGACAACCACGACCCACCAGAGTCCACAGAGCCCCTCCTCTTCTCTAGGCACCAGTGACACCTATAGGGTGTGGAGAAATCGGTTAATCTCTCAGAGTCTCATGGCTCACAGGAAGCAGCTGACTTCCTCCTGGCTCTTGGCCAGATCTCCTCACAGACCCACTGGTGATTTTTCAGGAACCACAGTTCCCTCCCTTGTTTATACACCCACCACTTGCCATGGCTTGCTGTTCCTCATCACCTCTCTGGGCACAAGGCTGTTTACACCTGGAAAGTGGAGGCGACCACTTTCCCAGAGTCCATCTTTGCCCAGCCCCTGGCCCTGCATAACAGGTGCACTGCGTTGTTTGGGAAACTCAGCCTGAACGAACGCCAGGAGCCTCGGCCCAGGCCTCCGCAGCCTGCCATCCATTCATCACACAGAGCTGAGCCAAGGACGATGCCAGCTCATGTCAGTCCATCATCACCCTGAGTAATGAGGTTCTCACTTTCGCATTGTTTGGACATTCGCAATTAGAGGAAGAGCCATGCTTTGGGCTCCCTCTCACATTCTGACAGGCTCCCTCGAGCCCCATGAGACTGGCTTCTGTGTCACTCACAAGCCTGCCAGGTCACTGTTGTTAATCTCTAAGCCAAGTGCCACACATGCTTCAGCCAGTGCCGCCTGATGGCTGGTCCCGCCAAGGAGAAGCAAGGTGACGTGTAAGGTAAGAACAGTAAAAAAAAAGCACCCCACGATCAGAAAGCTGGGAGGCTGGCTAAGCCAACACCCCACCAGGCTTGTCCTAGAAATGTCCACATCCTTCTGCCCATTGAGGAAGCCAGTGTCCACATGCTGGTGTCCAAAGAAGTCTCCTTCTTGAAGACGTCCATTATGGCTCCAGCCTCGGTCTTCAGGTGAGCCCAGATGTCACATGTGAGCATCCGCAGGCTGGAGCTCAGACTTTGCAGACACAAGGTTTACCACCAGATGGGCCAACCCCTCCTCAGGGCCCACTCACCTTAGGAAAGGGCTTGGAGTAACCAGAGCTAACCACTAAGTTTGTGTCTCAGAAAATTGAGAAAGCTCAATGGAGTCCATGGAGAGGGCCCTGTGTTCATGTTCTCTTGCTGCATGACAAGCTGCCACAGCCAGACGGCTTCAACAACACACAACACACGTCTGCAGCTGAGAAGTCTGGGCGGGCGTGACTGGGCTCAATGCTCAGGGTATCAAAGGACAAAATCAAGATGATGGTCACACCGAGCTTCTATGTGGAGACTCTGGGAGAAAATCCACTCCCAAGCTCACTTAGGGTACTGGCAGAATCCAGTTCCATGGGACCACAGCCTGAGGCCCCTAGTTCCTTGCTGGCTCCTGGGCAGGTGTCACTCGCTTTCTTACACACAGACACCCTCCATCTTCAAAGCCAGGCATGACCTTGGTTCCAGTGCTCCGATTCTCTGACTCCCCCCTCTACGACCAGCCTGTGATTAGGTGATGCCCACCTGGTAACGTCCCTATCTTCAGGTCCACTGTGCCACATACCACAGCATAATCACAGGAGTGATGTCTCATGATATTCAAAGGGTCTGGAGATTAGGGAGGGACATCATAAGCCCATATCTAGTGTCCATTCTATACAACCGAGGCTCAGCCAACAAAAATGAGAGCAGCAGCTGTGTGTGTGTGTGTGCGTGTGTGAGTGTGTTTGTGCATGCACACACACACACACACACACACACACACATCCTTCTTTCCCTCTCAAGACCACCTGAAGCTCCCCATATGTGTCACAACAATAAAAGCTTACCATAACTGTTATCTGAATTTTAGAACCATGGGGGTCTCCTGGCTGGAAAGGACTTTAAAGATGATATACTCCAACCCTCTCACAGCGGCAGCTTTTGCTTGAATATCTCCAGTGACAGAGAGCTCACTACATTTCCGAATAACACATCAGCATTCGATTGTATTCAAAAAACCATCTGCCAAGCACCTACTCTGGGCCAGGCCAGTGTTAGGCACATAAACACAAGGTGAACAAAACACGATCCATTCCATTTGTTAGAAAGCACTTCCTTTTGATGGGCCAAGATCTGTCTGTCCACAGGTGCACCTGCTGCACCTCGTGCCACCCCTGGGGCACCAGAGGAAGCCAGCTCACTCTGCCACAGCTGGCACACCCCCTCCTTCTCTGCCCACATGTCCCCCTGGCAGACACACACTCCTGCCAAAACTCTGGCGGGGTGTGGGGCTATGAGGACACCAGATCCAGGCCAGGCCAGAGAGCCCACAGGCCAGGAAGCAGCTTCGTCCTCCTGGTCCACAGGGACCTTCTTGCCTGACCAGCTTGTCAGCACAAGATGGTGAACAGCCTTTCTCCGTTGTTCTGATGCCCGCACCAGCATGCTCTAGGGCCCTTGGCTGCCTCTGCCACTCACGGTGTCCCAACTCTTCCCCTGCCCCACTCCCTAGCCCTCCTCAGCTCCTGGGAACCAGACATCCCAGAGTCTTCGGTCATAACATTTGATTGATTTATGTGCTAAGCCCAAGGTAAGAAGCAGGGCCCCTCTTGCTCTTCTAGAGAACAGCTGGCATCTTCCCAGGGGCCTTTGCAGCTCACCGCCCTGTGTAGTCTGCCCAGAGGACTGCCAGGCAGGGCGTGGCACCAGAGCAAACCTTTCCCCAAAGGCTCTCAATTATGTACAATGAATCAGGGGCCACAGGGGGACCTCTCTCTATTGAATAATCTACTTGTGCCAGGCCCTGGGGGTAGATGGATTGATGAAATTTAACCCTGACTCCAGGGGCTGACCAGTAATGGCTCTGATGGTTGGACAGTTCAACAGACTGTCCTCATTGTCATCAGACAACATGGTTGGTGTGGTGAGAAAGCCTTGGTTGTTGGGGATCCCAGAGGAGACACCTGCTCCAGACTGGGGGCAGGTGCAGCGGAGCAGCAGGTTAGAGAAGGCTCCCTGCATCACTTCCTTCTGATAGAGAACCCTCCCCTATGGCTGTCTTCTCTCCTTCCCTCCCTCCCGACCAAGGGCCGGTCTCCATTCACCGGCCTCCTCCCTAGCTCCCCTTCCCCAGGCCTTCCCAGCTGCCCTTCTCCAGAAAGATCCCAGAGGTCAAAATGAAGTACAAGCTTACTACCTTTTAAATTAAGTTTTAAATGCTCCATTCTCAACTTGAAAAAGCAGATGAATTGGCTGTTTCAAATGAAGTTCCTTTGTCAATGGCCATGAATGAATAAGTTACCTCCCCCAGATTGAAGAAGTTTCATAAAATAAATGATGTAACAGCACTTTATCTGAGCTATATACAATTCATAACAAGTATCTATTTACCTGCTTTACTCAGTACATTCTTGAGGAAGTTGCCGTTTTGGAGAGCTACATTTTTCAGATCACGTCTGTCCCCTAATTTTTAAAAATACCAACTTTGGTGTGGCTTTTTACAATGAAAATCATAATCCTGAGTCTTAGTCAGAGCGTGCTGCACATAATCTAAAGTTCTCTCGGTGACTCAAGGTCATCATTGTACGATCCAGTCACCATCTTCGAGGCGTTTTGCTCTGAGACTGCAGTGCTTCGAATTCTTCATCTGCTTTTCACAATTGTTCCATTTCCTCCCTCACTGTTGCCTGTCTAATACTAACAATAACAAAAACAGGAACGCTAATAATGTTCCCAGCACTGTGCTAAGCAGTCATGCGTATTAGCTCATTTAATTCTCACAAGATGGGTCCTTTAATTGCACTCACTGCACAGATTGAAAATGTTTCTCCTGCAGTTAGAAGACGCGCCCAAGGCCAGACCTGATGAAAGACAGGGCTGTCATTTGAACCCAGTTTGGACTGGATCCAAACCAAAGCCTGGGCTCATAATCACCACACATCCCTTCTGCGACCCTGTCTCTAAAAGTTCTTCTCTCACTTCCAATTTGCTTCCTTAAATTTGATACCATAGGATCTCACTTCAATGTGGACTCTAATGAACAAAATAGAACCAGCGGCATGGATACATGGAACAGACTGGCAGATGTCAGAGGGAGATGGGTGGGGCAGGAGGGATGAAAGAAGGTGAAGAGATTAGCCAAAGAACATGTATGCAGCGTGGTGATGGTCAGAGGGAGTGGGGACAGGGGCTGGGCAGAGGTGGGTAAAGGGGGGGGGAATGAGGGACATCTGTAATAGTGTCAGCAATAAATTTTTAAAAAATTGTCACAGGATAAGAAACAAGATCACCAGCTTATTAGAATCTGTGCAACGTAATAATAAATAGGAGATGGGATAGAAATATTGGGAGGATGATAGCTAAAAGGTATAGGTTTCTTTTGGAGATGATAAAAATATTCCAGCCCTAACTGGTGGTGATGGCTGCACGACTCTGCAAATGTAATAAAAACCACTGAATTATATATCTTAAATGGGTGGATAGTGTGTTATATGGATTACATCCCAATAAAGTTACTTAAAAAGAAGAAATAGGAGAGGCCAGAGAGCCCTAATGTGCATTTTGGTTGCTCAGAAATTTTTCGTGTTGTCAATGTTGGCTAAGTTTCAACTATGTACTTGTTAGGTGAACTCGGGCTAGGTAATATGAAGGGATTCAAAGTGAACAAAAGATAGCTTCTGGGCACCACCGGGCTTTTCCTGTCTTCTTGTCTTTAGCTTCTGACTTTGATTCCATAGATTGCCCACCCCTCCCTCTCACCGTAAGCCGTCCCCCCAACCCCCCTCCCAGTGGAGACCTGGACAATACCATTTTCCTAAGGAGGCGGGGCCCTGCAGCAAGCCATCCCTGCTGGCCTCCTGATTGGGGCCTCGCCTGTAAAAACACGTGCTTCTCCCAGCAGCCTGGGCACTGGCTTCCTGGACTCAGCCCCCAATGCTAGAAGGGAGCCGTCTGGGCCCAGTTCAGTTCTTACAGCCACTGGAATCCTACACAGCAAGCCACTGCGTTCTAGGCGCTCATCTTTCCTATTCACAGACCAAGTTTTTCTTTTTTGTAAGAAGCTGTTTTACTTCCTGGTTCTATCTTATGCTTTTACAGTAGACTTAGAAGAGTCCTTTTTTTTTTTTTTTTTTTTTTAAATACAAGAGAAAAAGAAAATGGTTGTAAAAATAGAAAATTTAAAAAGCCTTCTCCAAGCACCAGGAATATCCAGGCTTATCAGAGGAGCCAGGGCGAGGGAGGGCTTTTCCCAAACTGGAAGCCCCATCTCATGTCACAGTTTGAAACAAATCCACTGACTGCAGACTTGGAGGCCGGTGGGCCCCTTGCAGGAAAGCTCCCTGTCACCGTGTATACTCAGAATGTCAGGGAGGAGCTGGAGATGAAGAGGAGGCCGGGGAGAGGGTTCCTCCACTAAACTGGTCACACCTGAACATTTGCATAATGGTACCTCTGCTGAGCAGTGAAACAGAAAGACAAAATTGGGGGTACACAGCCCCAGAGGACACTGAGACATCGGCCAGGTAGTCGAGGGACCAGGCTGTCATTGGCAGAAAAAAAGCCAGGGGGTAGAGTAGAGCTTCGGCCAAGTTTCTCCCCATCTCATTCAGAAGCAGCCAATTATATATTGGGGAGCCACACCCATGTCGCTCCAGTGCCTACGATGGAGCCAAGGACCCCACCCCACCCCTAACAGTGGGAGAGCCTCCTGGGCAAAGTGTGGGGTTCTGCATTCCAAAGACATGCGTTGTTGTTTTTAATGCTCCTTTTTAAATGTTTTTCATTGGTTGCTGATTTTTTTAATGTTTTAAAATTCCCATATATTGCCAACACCATAATAAAAGTGTTTATTTCTTGACAATCTTTTTACATATTTCACTATGATATATGTATGTATACTTGACTAGGCTCATTCCAAACCTCTTTCTTTGTTTCCACAGCAAAAGACGTGAGTTTTAGTCCCTGCTCTGTCACTTACTTGCTACGTGTACTTGTGCAAATGAACTTCTCTGAGCCTTAGTTTCCTAATCCGCAAAATCGAGGTCATAAGAATATCCACTTACTAAGATGCAGGTATTACAGAAGGAAGGCAAACTGGGCAGCCCAGCACTTCACCCACGGCAAGAGGCAGCTGCTGTTGCGGCCCATCTCCATCTGAGCAGCAGGAGGTTGGATAGGGAACATATGCATGGGGTTTACTGTGCCCAGGCCCTGTCCTGAGCCTTTTACAGATGTTAACTCCCTCATTCCTCAGGACACCTCATGAAAGCAACTACTATTACCATCCTCATTTTATAGATGAGGAAGAAACAGGGCACAGAGAGGTTTCTTAATTTGTCCCGGGGTCACAGGGCTCAATGGTGAGTGGCAGAACACAATGTTGCTGGGAGTTGTGGCCACCCAGGCGCAGCATCTGTGGTGAAACAGGGGAAACAGGACCTCTTTCCTCTGCTGCACACCCACTGCTCACCAACACAGGCCGAGTCCTGGGCTGGATCCCGGGGTGCAGTGGGAGCCAGATACACTCCTCAAGGAGCTTCCAGCCTAAAGGGAGGCACACCATGACCACCACAACCTAGGACGTAGGGACAGAACAACATTTCTGGAGCGGAATTTGCAGAAGAATATCTGGAATCACAGAGCACCATTTGCACTTGGAGGAAGATAGGAAACAATCTCTTTTTACAGACGTCTGGCCCAGTGTCTCTATGTAATGGAAACTGGAGTCAGAGACCTCTTATTCCTGGTAATGAAAAAATGCCAGGACCCCTCTTTACTAAAGATTTAAAGGCTTATTCAAAAGACAAAGTAGGTCCTACAGACCAGTCAGCCCATGAAGTCTCCACTTGAGAAGCCAGGGCGGTGGGACAAGGGTCTCTACAGTCATGCCCTTCTTTGCCCACCAGGGATGACCATGCCGCTGAGCCTGGGGCCACCCCTCCTCTCCCAATACAAGGCTGGCACTCAGAGTTGGCAGATGGCAACAACAACCCCTTCACTTCACGGGCTCACAGTCCCCCTGAGGAGGGAGAGCATTTATTTTCTGGGTGGTGAAGCTCTGTTCTTGTCTTTATACCAATACTCGACGTTTTACTTCTTTCCAAAAAAAGTTAAGGGAAGACTGAACCAAGTCTTCCCTTACTCTACCAAGAAAGGAAAGGACTTGCCTTTCAAAATAAGGAGGTGCCTTAGGAAGAACCTGATTGCAGAAGAGACGCCAGTTCCATTACGTTAGCTATTGAAGTCTGCAGTACGCTGGCCAGGCAGGCGTCCAGCCAGAGCCCCACTGGACACTTCATCAAAGGTTTTTACTCTTTAATGCTGCCCTCCCAGGTGAGATAAACTGTGAGAGGGTGAGGGCTTCCCACTGCACTTGGACCAAGATCCAAACTTCTTATCGGGGAGCACAAGGCCAGTCTGATCTGATGCCTGTCCTGGCGCTTGCTTACCCCTTTAACCACACCTCTACCCCACATGGGCCTTGAAGATAGAGGGCCTTTGTACCGCTCTCACCAGCTCTGCACATAGCTGGGTCCTTTATACCCTTTACATCCTTTATAGCTACAATATCACCTCCTCCAAGAAACCTTCCCTAACGACCCCTTCTGAAAAAGGACTATCCCCCACCCCCACCCCACCCATGCACACACACCTTTTTTTCCTCTCTCTCAAACTCCTATTCATCTCCTTCAGAGCCCCTGGCCTGGGCCTGGACCTGTTTGTCCTCAGATTCACTCCTCACCTTCCCCTGAGGAGTGAATGTTCCCCTATGCGTCAGCTACCTTCTGGCTAGGTTTGGCCAATGGCAACCACGGAAGAAAACTGGAAGGTGCCATAAGGATTAAAGCCAGGTATCTCCTGCGTCTATCTCTGCCTTAGGAGGCATCTCTGCAGCTGTTGCCTTTCCTCCTTGGCTCCAGTGTCCATGGGAAAGGCCACCGCAGTCCCAGCTTCTCCACCCTGGGCTCCAGCAATGCCACCTCTTTCCACTGACTCTCCAGCTAACCGTGGTAGCTGCTTCCTACTGTGCCCAATCTCTGGGTGGCCCCCTCCCCCCTGCTTGTGTTCTCAGTTCTCTACCACCTCTGTAACCAACTCCCTGCATGAAATCCTATTTCCAGTACTCACGTGGTTTCTGTTTTTCTGATTAGACCTGACTAATACTGCACATAATTTGTCCATTTTTTAAAATTAATTTGTCCATTTACTTAATTACTGCCTAGACCACTGTAAATGCTACAGGGGAGGGACTACATCTATCCTGTTCTTTATTACATTCCCATTGCATGGCATAGGAGCCGGTAAACAGTGAGCTGAGTTAATTAATAATGCAAAGTACTTGTCAAGTGATGAAAAGAAGTAAAATTGGTATTTCCCAAGAAATCCTAAAATTTACAAAAAGAAAATAGCAATTTCATTTGGAAATAGTGTGTATTTATGTACTTGGTTCATTATTAAAACAACAGCAAAGAGAGAGCGGGTTTTTTATCTTTTCAACTAAACAGACACACCGAAATGTCCTTCATGAACTAAGTGATGGTCAAGTGATTTTGGCTAAGAAGTAAGCTCAGCTCCCAGGGACAGGCCAGTTCCCATGAGCCACCTCAACTCGGGATGAACGTACACAGGCGGCCTGGGTCTGCACAACTGTGCACACGACAGCTGAGTCGTGGGGACAAACCTTTTCACGGTCTCCACCGACTCCTGCTCCGCCAGCTCCTTCTGCAGCTCCCTCTCCTTGGCCTCCTTCTGGCCGATGGGGCAGTCCTCGGGGACGGTGAAGAGGGACAGGGCATCTTTGCTGTCCTCTTCTCGGAGCACTTTAGCGAACACCTTCTCGGCCAGGAGCCGGACTTGCTCGTCCACCTCAGAGATGTTCAGCTTGGGGAACTGGCGCGGCATCTCGGCTAACAGAGAAAGAACAAGCATTAACCTTCACGAATTACTGGGTGGCCGGAGTCACCGTGCGGGGAGGAGAAGGTACTGAAATAAGGGCCAGGCCCCCAGTCCTTGGGGTCAGCGGCCTACTCAGGATTTCCCCTGACAAAAACCCAGCATGCCAATGTCTAGAACTAGCTCAACAAGTAGCTGGATGTGAAGACTGCAGGGCCAGTTGCATTCCATGAGAAAGCAAGTGTCCGGAAGTCAAAGAACGGACTGTCGCTAAGTATGCTCCCATTGGCCTGAACTCGGGATCCGAAGCACACCCACAGCCCTGCCTTTCCCGGCTCTGTTTCCGTGGGGGAGAAGGAAGAGGTCAGCACCGTCCTCCCGCAGACTGAGGAGGCCATTCCAGGTGCAACAGTGACCAAACCTCATTCCCACTGCACAGAGGGGAAGCCCGAAGCCCAAAGGGTTTGATGATTATCTTAAGGTCCCACAGGATGACAGCAGAGCCCTGGGGAATCCCAGGCTGCATTCCTCTTCACATGAAACAAGGCCGTTTGCTGAAAAGAAAGAATTTTCAATCACGGTTCCACAGTCTTCCAAGTCCTCTGGAACTTCGAATAAGACACAACAAATACAATACAGGAGTCCCCCAACCCCCATATCTATGGGGAATATGTTGCAAGACCCCCCAGTGGAAGCCTGAAACCCCAGATAATACTGAACCCTATATATACTATGATTTTTTTAAAAATATATTTTTATTGATTTCAGAGAGGAAGGGAGAGGGAGATAGAAACATCAACGATGAGAGAGAATCATTGATAGGCTGCCTCCTGTATGCCCCCTACTGGGATCGAGCCCAAAACCCGGGCATATGCCCTGCCTGGGAATAGAACTATGACTTCCTGGTTCCTAGGTCGATGCTCGACCACTGAGCCACACAGCTGGGCAATATACTATGACTTTTTTATACATGTGTACCTCTGATTAAGTTTAATTTATGAATTAGGCACAGGGGGAGACTAACAACAATAACTAATATTGAAAATAGAAATAGAAAAATAGAAAAATTATAGCAATATACTGTAATGAAAGTTATGTGAATAAAAATTATGTGAATAGCTTTGGGGCCATTATTAAGTAAAATAAGGGTTCCTTGAACACAAGCACTGTGACACAGTCGATCTGATGACGGAGACAGCTAAGTGACTAACGGTGGGAAGCATCTACCGCGTGGGGACGCCGGACAAAGGGATGACTCACATCACGGGAAAGGCAGAGCAGGCCCACAGGAGATTGCATCACGCTGCTCAGAGTGGCATGCAATTTAAAATATATGAATTGTTTATTTCTGGAATTTTCTATTTAATATTTCCACACCCAGATCACCATGAGTAAGTAAAATCACAGGAGGTAAAACTGTGGATAAGAGGGGACTGTTGTAAAGGTTTGGAGACGGGAATACTCTTTATCTTTCGCAGCCCAGCTGAAAAGTCAATTCCTGTAAGAGGCGTGCCCTATCCACTCCCAGCACTGGCTGCCTACATCACCTGGTTAGTGCCTTTCTTTTCTGTTTCTCTGCCTTTCTGTTTTGTTTTTTTCTAACACTTAGATAGCACTTATTAAGTACATTCTGCCTTTATATTTATTACATCTGTTAATCCTATTATTGCCCTTTTACTGATGACACCATGAAGGCACAGAGAGCTCATTGGCCAGTGAGCAGAGACGTATGCCGTTCTCAGCCGTGGCTCCCCTGTCCTGTTCCTCTCTGAGCCTCTGCACAGGGATTTGAACCCAGCACCTGGTTCCATTTGTACCCTTAACCTGCGACGCTGTTCCGCTTCTCTTTGTCCATCTGGGTGTCAGGTGGACACGCAGCCTCACACTTAGGGAATGGGTGAATACTGCATCCTTTCAACAGCCACCTCACCGGGAGTGGCTCTGGAAGAAGAGCTTCCTGTCCATCTATCTCCATGGTTTCTTTAGGGAAGGTTTAAAGAGAGAAGTGGCTTTGTCCGCCCAACAGATGCGGATGAAGGTGAGACGGTGCCCAGTTGGTGTCTGGCAGGGAGAGGAAGCAAATGTGGGGGAGGAGGGACTCACTGCGCAACCTTGGGACAGACATTCTCCGCATCTGCCCGTTTTCTCAGCTGTGAGAAAAAGGGACTAGACTAAGCGGTCCCCAAGGCCTCCTCAGCTCTGAGTGCCTTAATTCTAGGTACCAGAGAGGTTTGCACTGCCCTGGAGGCTTGCTGCCAGGTCTTCTCTGCAGCACGTGGGTCGCATTCATGACAGACAGGAAGGAGACAGGCATGCTCGTAACGGGCAGTAAAGAACATCTGTGGCCCCTTAACTGCGAAACCGATTTCCTCCTTCCCTCCACACCAGGACCCTGCCTTTCCTGGGCCCCTCTCACCGTTAGGGGGTTGAGTGGGAGGGAGCTGGTTAGGACAGAGGAACCCCAACACACCACTGCTAGTCTGTGGTGGCGGAGATCAGGGCAACAGCAAAGGCCTGGCCTGCAAAGAGGAAGAGCATAGCTGTCTAGAGATAACCACGTCCTATAGCCGAGAGAAGGGGAAGCTGGACACCATCAGAGCAGAGGCTGGGAGAAGGTGACAGGGGAGAGAAATGAAGAGAGACAGGGAACCAGATCCAGAGGAGCTGTTAGGTCAGAACGAATCTGGACCTTCACCTCCCCCGTCTAACGCCACAGGTCAGGGGTGACGTTTCAAAACCTCACATCTCAGAGGGAGACATCCTATAGGCCCCAGGCAAGGAGCAGCCAAAGCCAAGAGACACCCACACCACTTAACACCCCCCAGAAACGACTTAGAAGAAAAGAATCTGAAGGAAGGAAAATACACATGGGGTTTGCACGCGCAGCTTTAAAATGTCTGCATTAGGAGCAGAATCACTTGAAAAAAATTGTTAAGCAACCAAAATTGTAATTAAGAGGACAATACAGCCACATAAAAATGTCTTACAAAATAACAGTAAGTAGGGAAGAAAATAAATACATAAAACGATGCCCAGGCTTGGTCGCAAAGATCTGAACATGTAGCCAGCCCCTGGTGGACAAGGGCTGTAAGAGAGACATGGACTCAGATGGCCAGATGGCAGGACTGCCTGTGGGAGAGGCAATGTCTGATTCTGATCATTAATGCTGTCATACCGTCATTTTAACAAACACAAAGGAAATGGAGACTGAAGAGTTTATAAAAAAGAGAGAAAAATAGAAAAACAAACTGTAACATTGCAGGTTTTGACAGTTAGGGTCCTCCCCCACCGAACACACCCCAGGGAGGCCAGCCCAAAAGGAATCGCACCACGGAGACCCATCTCTTCATGAGCTCTCACCCTGGACAGAAGCTGCCCACCACCCCCTGCCCATCCCCTACGCCTAACCCCACAAACACATACCAGCACACACCCCAGGCCCCCTCGGGAACGGGCATCAGGGGGTCCTTTGTGCCCGAGGGCTCTGATGCCTGATCCTGCCATGCTTTTCCATGAAGCATCTTTAGCTTGCTCAAGCCAACAAAACGTATTTTTCAGGATGCATCTTTCTACAAAAGATCCCCCTCTTTCTTTAGCTTAAATCAGCCTTTTTCAAACCGGGTCCCTTAAGATGCCCATACCTATTGCTGGTAGAACAGGTCCTATAGTCAAGTATTAGGGAGATGCTACACCCCCAGCCCCTCCACCCAGATTCACAAGGCACATCAAAGACTCAAGGATCACAGAGTACCATGTCCCCACAGACACCCCCCTTCTCCCCTCCCCTCCAACCCATATTAATCTCCTGCAGTGGGCCTCAGACGCCTCCTATATCCTTGCTGCCTTCTGGGCATCCTTGGCAGACAGTCCCCACCTGCCAGCCCCCCCCCCCCCACCCCCCCCGTGGCTCGTCTGTGTTCTCAGGCCTACAGACACAGGCCACATGGGGAGGAAAGCCCGCTCTGCAGGTGTCAAGCAGAGCTGTAGCTCCAGCTGCTTGTTCAAAGCTGGCTTTCAACTTTCTGTCAGCCACAGCCAGCAGACGTGGGAGGCTTCGCGGGACTCACCGGCACTGGCTCGTGATACAGCTTATCTCACCCTTACATACGACACCCCGCCATGAGTCTGTAGAAGGGCCCGGGGTTAGAAAGCTGTAAAATGCCACCAATTTCAACAAACAGGAACTGTTCATGGCACCATAGTCCCTCCAGAAAGGAGGCACCTCGCCCCATAGGTAAACAAATGAAACTGTTTCCTGCTCTCGCCAGACTCCCACCGTCAGAACCCACGACACAGACCTGATCCTGGCACTGGAGTCTCCATGGCTGCTCCTGAGGATGCCACACAGGCAACGCACTCAGGCCGGGGCTGCAGGCTGGGCTGGGCAGGAGGCTGAGCTGAGTCAGTGTCAGAGCAGCAGCTGCTGGCTCCTATCAGCAGCTGCTGGGGTGGGAGGGCTCTGCTTTGCATATCTGTGAGCAGCCTTGAGCGCGAGCTGGAAATTCTCCCGTGAATATGAAATGGAAGTGGAAAATTTCCAAGAGTCCTAATGGGCTCCGGTCATGCCCATCATCCACGGCTGCTAGACCCTGACTGCAGTGCCCTGGCCCTGTTCACAGCCCTCGCCAGAGCAAGAAACTCAAGCCACGGACCAGCCTTCCTGACCCACCACAGAAGGGAAGCACAGCCTCCCTCTAACATCCAGACTCCTCCTGACAGCTGAGCAGTGCCCTGCAACACCATCACCTTTGCTGCCTCCCCTAGGAGGGCCCCATCAAAACAACCTACTGAGGGCACCCCAGGACTGGCAGGGGAGCTCTGAGCCCAGTTGCAAGGCGAGCTCCTCCCTGAACCTCCTCCTCTGAAAAAGGGAAGGTCTATGAACTGCTCCAACCTTTCCCAGGAAAGGACAGACTCAGACAGAGGGGAAACAAGCAGGAGCAAGCTGAGATGAAAAGCCGGCGGATCTTATTCCAGCCCTTCCTTTCTTGCCCCAAGGAACCTGCGTATCACAGGTGACTGGGCAGCCTGTCAAGCTCTACCAGAGCGTGACTGTGCGCACGTGTACACACACACACACACACACACACACACACACACAGGAAGTATGTCCCACCCCACCCACCTGAGCCCAACCTCCCCACCCTCTCCTTACTGCCAGTCATGGCTCCTACGTGGGCCTCCAGCTCTGAGAAGCCTCCAGAGGCCTGGCTGGACTCAGCCCCCTGCTACCAGCAGCTGCCGCTCCCACTGGGAAGGTGGGGCTGCCTCCAGTGACCCACAGAGCAGTCCTCTAAAGGCCGCCAGGGTGGATTACAGCAGAATCAGGACGCAAAGCTCCACTCTCCATCTGCCCTTTAGAAAGACAGTCCTGGGTGGGAAGGCTCAGAACAGACACACGGCCTCCCGGTGACTTAGATAAGTGGCGTGGGTCAGGGAAATAACCGTGAGCAAAATGGCTATTTCTGTGGTGCTGTTGACATCCTGGGGAGAAGAGCCCAGAAAGGAAGGGTCAGTTGTTTACCAGGAGCTGGCTCTGGCCCTCATTTGGGCCTGAGTCACCTTGTCATGTCCATTCGTGAGGTTGTGCCTCCCTGAGCCCACATAATAGCTCCTGTGCGGACAGAGCAGGATTACATGGTTGACACACGATCCTTGGGCCACTGCTGAGCCTTAGCTACTCAGGGATTATGATCCACCTGTCCTCACAGCTGTTTCATAAACAGTGCAGCCAGCAGGCTGCAATCAACCTAGAGCAGCGATTCTCAACCTGTGGGTCGCGACCCCTTTGGGGATCGAACGACCCTTTCACAGGGGTCGCCGAAGACTATCGGAAAACACATATATAATTACATATTGTTTTTGTGATTAATCACTATGCTTTAATTATGTTCAATTTATAACAATGAAAATACATCCTGCATATCAGATATTTACATTATGATTCATAACAGTAGCAAAATTACAGTTATGAAGTAGCAACGAAAATAATTTTATGGTTGGGGGTCACCACAACATGAGGAACTGTATTAAAGGGTCGCGGCATTAGGAAGGTTGAGAACCACTGACCTAGAGGGAGGGTAATATTTATTCATTAACTAATTAAACATCCTGAACTCATAGAGAAAACGAATCCAATCCCTTAGTCCTGTTCTGCCAGAGGGAGAAGAGGCAAATGATACCTTCTGCTGATGTGTTTGGGAGAGGGGAAAGCCTGCTGGGGAGGGGGGGTGGAGCTGCAAGGGGAGCATCCCAGCGCATGCATCTGAGAAACTACCTGGACCCAATACATTCAGGGAATTTTATTCTGTACCCTGAACCAAACTATGGTTAGCCTTAGCCTCAACACACATACTCCAAACTGTAGTCTGTCGAACAGAAAAGGTTGGAAGTCTTGGAAAACACTGCAAACTATCGTCCCTTATGGGGAGTCGTGCACAATTCCTACTAGCGGATTCTAAACATCTGAGAAGTCCTGCAGTAAAGAAAGCTGCTTACCTCTGTTTAACCCAACAGGCTTATTTGACCCTCCCCACCCCTGCCATCACAGGAAAAAGTACCTATTAATATCCCGCGGCCTGGGCTTTGGAAAATGCCTTCCGCTATGAGCCTTCATTTCCCAACCAAGAGATAACTGTCTTCCTGGGCCCAGCTATGGGTGTGAGGCCCATTCCATCGGGTCCAGTGGGAGACAGGCAGCACCCCCGCTAACATGACACAGGATGGAACAATGGGCAAGGGTCCCACAGCCAAAGGGATTCAAGATCCTCCAGAAGAGTGGTGGTTTAAGAGGAAATTGGCTCTGTCTCAGGAGGGCAAACTCCACTCAGGACCCCACAGTTCCACCTTGTGCCTAACATGTCCGTGCTCCTCATGGCCTAGAAGTGAGAAGCACAGGTCCCAAACTCAAAGCCCTATTTCCCTTCTGAAGAAACAGTAAGACAATCTATGATAAGCAAGCCCAGGACCTATATGTCTTGCCCAGGAGACCAGAATACATTCTCTTTTATCACTTAAGTGCCCCTTCAAACACCCAGGAACAGGAAAGGCTAGAATCCAATTATGTCCCCTCCCCAAAAGGATGCTGTGGGCTTGCTATCAGGGTTCATTTTCAGTTGCATTTACTGTACATGACCCACATGGGAGTTGGCCAAAAGGGTTTCATCTGTTAACTATCAGCTCCATGATAGACCTTGCCCATCTCATTCACTACTGTGTTCCTATGCCTGAAATATAGTAGGCATCAGTAAATATGGTGAGTGAAGACATAAAACAATAAATAAGTGAATGAGCTCATAATTAATCTACTTATAGCATGCTCAGAGTCATTACAATGTATGGTTAAAAATATGGACTCCAGCCAGACTAACTAGGTTTGAATCCTGTTCCATGACCTTGGGCAAGTACTAAACTTCTCTGGCTCAGTTTTATTCCCTATAAAATGGGGCTAATAATAGTACTGACCTCATAAGTCGCCATGACAATCAAATTAGCTAGCATGTGCTTTACAAGTGTTATCTTTCAACATCATTGTCACCATGACATCAGATACGGGAGAATCCAACTGAGAACATGAACATGAATTTTCATCTGGACAGTGTGTCCTTTTATTCAACAATATTTATGGAATATTATTGTGTGCCTGGATCTCTCTCTCTCAAGCTCCCCCTACTTAGATACAAGGAAAAGGAAACCATGTTTAAATGTGGAATCTGATCAGGAGAAATAGCCTTCTCTATGAATGATACTTCTTGCCGAGTTTGCATGGCCAGCACTCCAGCCCTGAGCCCATCCTCTTATGCCCTAGACCAGCCGTGGGCAAACTACGGCCCGCGGGCCGGATCCGGCTCGTTTAAAATGAATAAAACTAAAAAAAAAAAAAAAAAAAAAAAGACCGTACCCTTTTATGTAATGATGTTTACTTTGAATTTATATTAGTTCACACAAACACTCCATCCATGCTTTTGTTCCGGCCCTCCGGTCCAGTTTAAGAACCCATTGTGGCCCTCGGGTCAAAAAGTTTGCCCACCCCTGGTCTAGACCCTCGTATATCAAAGCCCGAAGCCATGGTCTCCTGTCCTAGGTAGGGAGCCAGCACACAGAAGAACAAAGAGATTAATATTTGGGGGGAAGAACCAGGAAGGCCAGCGAGCAGCTTTAGGGAGGAGAGGGTATCTTCCTGCTTTTCTCTGAGGCTACTGTTTTATCTTCCCATTATCTGGGATTGATTCTGAGGCCATCTGAAGATTAATTCGCCTAGTGCAAGGGACAAAGGAAATAGGCCTCATCTCATACCATTTCTTGACCTAGCTGAGAGCCACTCCCCCTTTATCCAGGATCTCAGAAGGACTGAGGTGGGCTGAGGGTGGGGCTGAGAGGCCCAAGAATCTTCCAGAAACCCACCTATGCAAGCCCCATGATTTTTAGACAGGGCAGCCTCCTACCATCATCCTCAGAGTTGCAGCCAGGCCAGGCTAACGACCCCAAAACTGCTGTCAGCCCTCAGGAGGTGAGAGCTGATGGGGCTCTGTCGGCCTGGCTCCATGGCTTCAGGACCTGGCATTAATGCTTCACAGCCAGGGAGGAATTTCTCCCATGAAGGTTCCAGCTGCAGCCAGCTTTTCCCTGAAGATGGACACAGGTTGGTCACCACATCCAGGGGGAGAGCCAAGAAGGGCATAGGACAGTGATGGTGAACCTATGACACGCGTGTCAGAGGTGACACGCGAACTCATTTTTTTGGCTGATTTTTCTTTGTTAAATGGCATTTAAATATATAAAATAAATATCAAAAATATGTCTTTGTTTTACTATGGGTGCAAATATCAAAAAATTTCTATATGTGACATGGCACCAGAGTTAAGTTAGGGTTTTTCAAAATGCTGACACGCGGAGCTCAAAAGGTTCGCCATCACTGGGTAGGACCATGCTAAAATCCCTCCCACTGCTTCCAGCGTTCACCTTAGCCCCTTTGCTATTTGTTATCACTAAGCTCAAGCACATACAAGGATCTAAGGCTCTGGGGAAATGAAGCTCTGGTTGGCAAGCCTCTCCTACTCCAGGGCCTCTCAAAACTCACCCAGAGCCTGTTGCCAGCTCAGACAAGCCATTAGCACCCCCCCCACACACACACACAACCCCCAACCCCCACAGAGCGGCTGCCGGGAAGTTCAAGGGCAGAAGGCAGACAGCCAGAACACAATACACATCCCTTACAGGGAGAGAGCCAGAGGTAAGGATGAAGGCCTGAACCGACCACATCATCATGTCATCCCGCCTTTCCCCTGGCTCCAGGTGGAAGTCCACCTCAGCAGTGAGCATCGGGCCAGTCCGCAGGCACCTAGAAACTTATCCCCGGCGCTTAAGTGGCGGCAAATTTAATTTTTCTAAACCTTGAGAACCCAGTTTAGGCCGCCGGGGAGCTGAGATGCGGCTGGCTCACCTGAGGCCTCAGGAGCCCAGGCCACCACAGAGACAGGACCGGGCGCCTAAGCGAGGACCCCGGCAGGGGAGGACCCGGGCGGTGAGCGGGGCAGCCCAGAGCCCAGGTCCCCACCCAAGGTCAGCAGCGCAGCAGCGCGCACTCACCGGGTTCAGGGCACAGGGCCATGCCTGGGCCGGAAGGGGACGGCCCGCGGGGCTGGAGCGCAGGTGGCAGCGCTGGGTAGAGCGCACCGTGGGCACCGCGGCGGGGGCTGCCCGGCACCGCTGCCAGCCCGGCGGGATCCGGGCCAGGCCGCACCCCACCCCCTCCCACCACCTCCTACCCCCACCCCCGCCTGTGCAGCCTGCGGCATGGCGGGAGCCCAGCGCTCCCGGGCGCAGCACTACGGGGCCGACCCGCCCGAGGGAGGAGGAAGAAGCCCCCGAGCCTTCCGAGTCGGTGCCCTACCTGGGCGCGGGGGCGAGGAGAGGCGAGGAGAGGCGAGCAGCCGACCGCACAGGGCCGCGAGCCGGGCGCCGCCACTCAGGTCCGCCCCGCCCGCCGCCGCCAGGCCCGCAGCCACCTGAGCGCCCGCCGCGCTGCCTGCGGGAACCTGAGACGCCGGGCGCGGCGGCCGCTCGGTCCTCCGCTGCCACCTCCGCTGCCACCCACGGGCCCGAGGTCGCTCCCCACGGTGTGCGGATTCGCCCCAACCTCCTCCCCGGCCCAGACTTTTCCCAAGGTGAGACTCTGGGGTCACGGCTGTCAAACAGGTGACTTGCTCCCTGGCGCTGAACCCGCGCGCGCGCACAAACACACACACACACACACACACACACACACACACACACACACACACACATTACCTTCTGGCTTATACACCGCCCCCCAAGTCCGCACTGACCTCCTAGTTACCAAAGCCAGTGAATGCTCTGCAGCTCCCCCGGATTTGAACCTGCTGGCCACGCCTTCCTTGAACGTTTGAGTACACAGTTTCCATAGTTGGCGCCACCTCCCCGCACTCCAAATTATGCACATACCTCCACTGGAAGGCCAGGGTCCCACAGCCGCCTGCCTTCTCTCTCATTCTTTTTTTCTAAATAGGTTTTTATTGATTTCAGAGAGGAAGGGAGAGGGCGAGAGAGATAGAAACATCAATGATGAGAGAATCATTGATTGGCTGCCTCCCGCCCGCCCGCCCACCCGCCCCACGCTGGGGACCAAGCCCGCATTCCTGGCATGTGTCCCCTCCTGGTTCATAGGTCGAGGCTCAAGCACTGAGCCATGCCAGCGGGGCTCTCCGCTCTCATTCTGTTGGCCCACTTTGGAGATCTCTCACTCCCATGGTTTTAATAACCTTCTGCCTGCTGATGACTCTTGAACCTCATCTCCAGCCCAGATGCTCCTGGGGCACCTCTCCACTGGGGTTCTCAGGCCCATGAAAACCTATCCAAACTCAAACTCTTCATTTCCTTCCAGAATATGCCAGAGCTCCCGTCTTCACAGCCAGGGGAGGAATTTCTGGCTGGTAGCCCCAGCCCCTCTCCCCAGGCCACATGTGGGAGACATCTTGACTTTCTCCTTTTCATCTCTCACATCAAGTTTGTCACCAAGGCGGGAAATGAAACTAGTCATTGGTGAGCACCCACGATGTCTCATTTAAGCAATGAGTTTTATTCCTTCTACCTGTAGCCTGATATTTACAATTTATTTATAAATGATAAGCACATGCAACTGTATTAATAGGTATTACAAAACACACTAAAAACCTTTAAAGGATTTAAAACAATTTTAAGTTACTTCATTTTTAACGAATGGTAAATATACCTTTTTCTTTTCACTTTAAAGTTATTAGCAAAAATCTGTTCGATGATAGAAACACGATTAGAAAATGGATTTAATAAATCTTAGTTCAATATTTTATGAGACTAGAAAGTATGCTTTTAAGTTCAGTTCATGTCAATACTTTGCCCTAATGGTTGCTATTGGCAGAACAAGATCTCACAAAGAAATAGACTCAAATAGAGGAATTATATCTTTGACTACTCTTATTAAATCATAATTCTCACTGTTTAAAACGCATCTATCAATTTTACAGATGTGAAATTCCACCAGAAAACTCTTTTGTCCATGAAGCTAATATCCTCAATGATATTTTCATCAATTGTTCTTGTGAATATTGTTGACAATGGAATTTTTTTTATTTCCTAAAACTCTTCATTTGGAAGTATATTCTTTTTTTAATATATTTTATTATTTTTTACAGAGAGAAAGGGAGAGGGATAGAAAGTTAGAAACATCAATGAGAAACATCGATCAGCTGCCTCCTGCACACCCCCTACTGGGGATGTGCCCGCAACCAAGGTACATGCCCTTGACTGGAATCGAACCTGGGACTCTTCAGTCTGAAGGCCGGCCGACGCTCTATCCACTGAGCCAAACCAGTCAGGGCTATACTTCTTAATTTTGAAGACTATGGCTATGACAGTCTTATAGATGACACTGACACTTCATTTTGGTATTAGAATGATAATTTTGACAGTTCCAGATATCAATTTCTAAGTGCTTTCATGATAACATGATTCTTTTAAAGCCCATACCTAGGTTGCAGATTCAATCCCTGATTGGGGCCTGTGCGGGAGGCAATAGATCAATGTTTCTCATCTCTCTCTCTCTCTCTCTTTCTCTCTCTTCTTTTCTCTCTAAAATTAGTAAACATATCCTCCAGTGAGGATAAAAATAGTTTAAAAATTGTGATGGTTGTACTACATAATGTAATGGTTGCACAACATAATTAATGCCACTGAATTGTACATGTAAAATTTTACATAAAATTGTACATGTCAAAAGGGCAAATTTTATGGGTTATTTTTACTTTTGTTTCCTCTTAGAGGGAGTGGAAGGGAAGGAGAGAGAAAATGTAACCAGACAAACAATGGATCCATGCTGACTGTCACTACTCAAGCCAATTAAGCAGAGGGTTGAATCATATGAGCGTTTATTCCAATGTTGCTGGTAGTATGGGAGAGCAGCAGGTTACTCACAAAAATCTACTCTGCAGCCCACCATAAACCAGCTGTTTATATAGCAAAGGGGCAGTTTACAGATATGCAAAAGAACTGGGGATCTTCAAAGGGCTTAATGATTTGCAAGGGCTGGGGTTACATGGGGAAATAGCCAACGGGTGGACCAAATGGGCAATTATCAGGTAGAGGACTGGGGATCTTTCTGTAACAAATCTTTGTTAATCTTTCCATGATAATAGGCTGCAGGTTCAATCCCTATGGGGAGGAAGGGCTGCATCCCCAGGTCAGCTCCTGCCAGGATAGAAGTGCCTTCTTTAATCAGAATAAAATAATCATGGTTAACAGAGCATGATTGATATTTCTTAAAATACTAACTGGTTCCCCAACATTCTATTTCTGCCCCCTTTCAAAACATCGATTTGTTGTTTCACTTATTTATGCATTCATTGGTTGATTCTTCTATGTGCCCTGACCGGGAATAGAACCTGCAATCTTGGAATATACAAATGACACTCTAACCAACCCAGCCAGGGACAAATTTTATGTTCTATGTTTTACTAACGTTAAAAAATTATTGAAAGCATAAAAAATTTTTAAAAATGAGTTTTTAAAAGCACAGTTATTTCATAGATCCACTGTTTCTTTGCATCATAAGTGTAAACAGAACAAATGGCTCTTCATCAGCTCTCAACTATCCCCTTTAGGAAGGGTGGTTTAAGAAGTGCTTGGAGGGAACAAAGAAGGAGGAATCATGTTCTGTTTAGGACGGATCCAGGAAAGAAAGAGCTGCTGCTGGAGCACTTAACAAGGAATGATAACCCAGAGGTCACTCCAACAGTTCTTGCAGAAATCACTGGACAAGCCCCAAACACCTCAGGATGGGCAAAGATTCCTATAGCTCATGATTTGTATAAACGGTGAGTGAGAAAAAGAAAGAAATCAGTTGGAAGTCACCTGTCAGTGGTTCCCAAAAGGTAAGCTCCAGTCACTGGCCTATCTGTATATTTCATATCTACATCACACTCCAGGTAATCCCCACTTGAACCAGATCGATTTCTAGTTACCTACAGCAAAGTTCCTATCTTTTCTAAATAAACAGTGAAAGCTTGTGATTTCCCAATAACTTAGTATTCCCACATTTATTTGTTGGAATTAGGTTCAAATGATGGTAATAGAGACCCAGAGACCCAAAACAACAGTGAGATAAATAAAACTCTCTCTCTCTCTCTCTCTCTCTCTCTCTCTCTCTCTTCTCTCTCTCTCTCTCTCTCTCTCTCTCTCTCTCTCTCTCTCTCTCTCTCTCTCTCTCTCTCTCTCTCTTTCTTCCTGTCACTAAATAGTCCAGAGTTGGGAAGTATGGGCACTTCACAAATCCTCAGGCTTCTTCCGGCCACCACACTACCATTCTTCGAGTTTGGCCCTCATCCTTGTGGGGATTAGCAGGGTACCTTCCTTTCTAAGAAAAGCCTACAGCTAGAGCTTTAGCCATTGTGTCCATGCTTTATGGAGCAAGGAAAAAGAAGGACTATATGATAGTTCTATTTTTAATGTTTTTGAGGAACCTCCATACTACTTTTCATAACAGCTGCACCATTTTGCATTCTCACATGTACAGGGTTCTAATTTCTCCACATGCTGGACAATACTTGTAGTCTTTTGTTTTCTTGGTAATAGCCATCCTAATGGGTGTGAGGTGATAGCTCATTGTGGTTTTGATTTGCATCTCCCTAATGATTAGTGGTGTTAAGCGTCTTGTCATATGCTTGTTGGACTTTTGTACCAGTATATCTGCTTTGAAGAAATATCTATTCAAGTCTTTAGCCCATTTTTAAAGTAGGTTATCATTATTATTATTATTATTATTTTGCTATTAAGTTGTATTACTATATGATCCATCAAACTCATTTCTGCATATTTATCCAAAAGGGTTTAAATCAGCATCTCAAAGAGAGAGCAGCACTCCCATGTTCACTTTAAGGCTATTCGCAATAGCCAGGTGTGGGTGCAACCTAAATGTCAATGGATGAATGGATAGAGAAATTGTGACATACACATACAGTGGTGTGGAGAGCGGCTACAGCGTTTGGACAGGTTCAATCCTGGGACTAATGAGAGGACACGATCCTCTCGTGGCAAAGCCACATGTAAGTCCACGTGTAAGTCCCAGCACAATTATAGCCAAAGGCTATTGTAAGCTTGACCTTATGGTCCGAACCTGTGGTCCTATGTGGCTGAGCAATACTATAGGCTGCGGGAGTTGCAGCAAGTAAACAAAGCTTGATCAGGTGCATGTAATTGAGTAGATTTGAAACCCGCAAGAACATTGTAAACATCTTGACCATGCCCTTATTTTGCCTCGTGGAATCTGGCTATAAAATAACGACTCGGCTTGCAGGCTGTGGTGCTGTCTCTCCATCACAGAGCAGCGTCCCACCTTGACCCAGCTTTCTTCTGTCTGTCTTTTCTCCATCCTTCACCGCCCCACCCTCAGGTTCGCCCATGGTCGTGCCGGCTCGGCACACAGTGGGACATTATTCAACCTTAAAAAAAAGGAATGGATGAATCTTAAGGACATTATGCTAAGTGACATAAGCCAGTCACAGAAGGGCAAGTGCTGCATGATTCCACTTATATGTTATCTAGAACAGCAAAACCCATAGAAACAAAGAATAGAATGATGGTTGTCAGGGGCTTAGGGGAAGGGGAGAGAAAAATGGGAAGTTCCTAATCAACATGCATAAAATTTCAGCTATGCAAAAATAAATAAGTTCTAGCGATCTGCTGTTCAGTTTTGTGTCTATAGATAGCAATACTGTCTTGTACACTTAACCCGTTAAGAGGGTAGATCTCATGGTAAGTGTTTTTACCACACAAAGGAAAAGACAAAGGAAGGAAGGAAGGGAAGGAGGGAGGAAGGAAGAGAGTACATGCCAAATGTTTTTAATGAAGCCACATGTCAGACTTCCACTTATCTTCTATTGACCACACTGAGCAACTTTGTAACATCACTGACAATGACATTGGTATTTTTCCCTCTCACATATAACTTCAATAAGGCATAGCCTTTCTACCCAAATATAACTGCTGATTTTCATGGAGGCCCAAGGTTACCAGAATTATATATTGTTTCACCTTCTCTTACTTGGGAAGCCAATCTTAACATGTTAAAAGTCCTCCAGGCAGTCATCTGTAAAATATCTATTGAGCATCTGGCAGGTGTCAGGCACGAGGTCCTAGAACATTGATGGTCAGAACACAGTTCTTGCCTTCATAGGGGCTATCAGCTAAGGAGCATTGATCAAATGACCCCACGAAAACACAACTTCCAACAGTGATTGTGCTGTAAAGGGAAAATGCAAGAGTTGTATTAGAGCAGAACAAGAAAATCTGACCTCCTTCTGGGTATGAGCAAGGAGAAGGTTCTAGGCATTGGTAGACATTGGGATAGCACGTGCAGAGGCACCGAGGGAATTTAGGGAAACAATACCCAAGTCATTCCCTCCCACTACACAGAAATAAAACTTTACTTCTGTTATGTATTCATGATTGAACATTCTGTTACATTTACACAATGAAAGCTCGATTTCCATTGTGTACAAATTTCTTATTTTATGGAAGGAAGTGGCCTGAGTAAATAAAACCAGTGCTCCAGGGTAGTATTGCTTTTAGATTAACTTTTCCAAATCCAGTCACTCCCAGCGTTTATTAAATTTATAACAAACCTGTTTCCTCATGCCCACAGTCCCCAACCTCTTGTGTTTTCTGAGTATTTCCAGTTCTGTGTCTGTCAAACATTCCTTCCGTGTGAGTGCATGTTGAAAGTTAGTGGAGAAAAATGCCCTTCTCCCCATGCTGTTTTGTAAGCCTCTAACATCTTCATTTCTTGTGCCAAAATTATAGAGGGGCACACTAGTGCAGACCCTGTGCAGGTACTCCAGTGCGGGGTCCCCCGCCCCCCCCCCCCACCACCACCACACCCGCTCCTTCTTCAGTGGGCTCTGACTTTTATCACTCACCTTCCTCCAGGGGCTGGCCTTCTCTTTAGTTCTTCCAGAGAGCAAGTGAAATGAGATCAGAGTGATGTCAATGGTCCTGGGCTATAGAATCACTCTAGCCTTCCTGCCTCCTAATGCCACCCCCATCACCACCCCTACTTCAAATCAGATCTACCTCATCGATATCTATCGCCAGGAGGCAAGCCTAAATGCATGGCCAAATTTCATTCCTACCAGGGATCTCTGAAGTATGTTAACGAAGTCATAATTTCTAGCCTTACCTTCTATGGTTTCCTCGTAAGCCTCCCCTGCAGGAGTCCACCATTTAAACCTCTAACTCCATCCTCATCTCCAGAACTGATTGCTGACAGCCAGTCTCAAGGGGCCTCCCAGGGCTATCCACAGAATGGCCTCTATATCTAAGGTCCCAGCAGCAAACAGATGGTACATTCTTATTAAGATTGTTTGTTTGTTTGTTTATGTTAATCCTCCCCTGAGGATATTTTTCCCATTGCTTTTTCAGAGAGCATGGAAGGGAGGGAGGGAGAGTGAGAGGGAGAGAAACATGGATGTGAGAGAGACACATTGACCGGTTGCCTCCCACGTGTGCCCCAACCGGGGAGTGAACTGCAACTTAGGTAATGTGCCCTTGACTGGGAATCAAACCTGAAACCCTTTGGTGCAAAGGCTGATGCTCTAACCACTTAACACACCGGCCAGGACAGGATAATTGATTTAATAGCTAATTTAATAGAGGGACTATTAGGGATATTAGAAAGTGGTAGATAATTTAATGGAGGGACATATTAGGATGGTTGATTTAATAGAGGAACTGCAAAGATGCAGGAAGGGTATAGGAAACCATGAGGATTTGTACAATACTCCAGGGCTAGTAAAATCAGGTGTTACCTCCATGTCCCTGAAGAGAGAAGGTGAAAGGGCACTGATTTCTTGGCAGGCTTCCAATAGAGCCATATGCCAAGTTATCTTACTTGTCTCTTGTTACCTGGCCCACTCTTTTGGTCCTGGTAAGCTCTCTTCCTCACAGCCCAATCTTCTACCTCCAGACCCCTCACAAGATCTCACCGAGTTCCTGTCCAGGAGTTACTTGGGAGAATAGGGTTTTCCTGCCTCTCACCTGGCCTGCAGACCTGCCCATGAACCTGATGACTGCAGGCACCTGCCCCTCTAGCTTCTCTCTCCTTCTCAGCAGAGGATTTGGAAGCCATACTATGAGTCACTGCCTTGGCCCGCTCACCTCCCTTTCCTTTTTGTTAGCTGGTGACTGATGCCCAATCAGGCTGGCCATTGAAGTCATGACCAGTTCTTATGGCAGCCTGATGTGGAGGTCTCTGACCCTCCTTTTCAGACCGACATAGTGTGGTCTAGTTTGTGGGTCAGGCAGCAGTGTCCAATCTGCTTCCCAGGGTTATCCACCAGGACGGGGGAGGACCCCTACCACCACCCCTTTCCTGTCCTCCAGCAGTCACTATTAGGCAAGAGGGCCTAATACTCCCACAGACATTTCAGTGAAACAGCCCTGTTTTTATTCACCTTCCATTACAGCCCCTCCCTCTGAGGCTGGGCCAGAGTAACATGAGCGGCAGGCAGAGGCTGGAGCCTTTCCCTAAAGCAGTGGTCGGCAAACTCATTCGTCAACAGAGCCAAATATCAACAGTACAATGACTGAAATTTCTTTTGAGAGCCACATTTTTAAAACTTAAACTATATAGGTAGGTACATCGTTATTCACTTAATTAGGGTACTCCTAAACTGGCCTTTGCTAAAAACGTCCTCAATCTGAGGGGTCGACCTCAGCGAACGTACCCCCACTTCTTCTAATGCCACTTTTTCAAAATAGACTCCCCCAGGCCGAAACCGACTTCTGTGCATGGGCCACGAAGTTTCAATCGCACTGTACGCGCGCCTGCACGTGGTATTTTGTGGAAGAGCCACACTCAAGGGGCCAAAGAGCTGCATGTGGCTTGCGAGCTGCGGTTTGCTGACCACTGCCCTAAAGGTTCCTAGATCCTTCTGAGAACAGATTGCTGCCTGCCCTCTGTCTCCACAACTGCTCCAAATGCACCCAAATGCATCTGAATCTGCAGCCCTGACTCAGGACACCAGCTGCCCCGGCAGGACCTAGGCTCTTGTACTGCTATTAGGGGACAGCTCTGTCCAAGCAGTCTCTCCACAGACTTCCCGAATATTCTTCTTTCTGTCTAGATGTCAGCAGCTAAAGTCACGCAGCCCAGTTTATTAAATGTTCTCTGTCCAGCGGGTGGGATTTCAGGGAGGGGAGTTGCATGTCCTTCTTATACCCCTTGCGATTGATAATTGTGGTTTTAATAGGAAAAAATTTTAATGTAATAGCATGTTTACCAAGATCATATACTAAATGCTCATGATAGAACATTACAGAGCAGGATTTCAACTATGTGAAAAATAAGACAAATGAAATAAAATAAAAACCTGGGCACACAAAAAAAGCGGCAGAAGATTTGTTTTAAATACTATCCTAGGTTCTGGGACTAAGGGAAGGGCATTCCCTAATTCCCAACAGGTTGCCCACAGTCCTTTTCTGCCCCAGACTTCTGGGTGTTCATTGGTCAATAGAAAAGACACCAGGACTAGGAATGTGATTTTATCCAAGGTAAGGAAAAGGTACATGTAAGAGCTGAAGAATTTGGGGTGCTCTGGAATAGGAGGGATGGAAAGAAGAGAGAATGTGAACTGTGAGGGAAGAGTCTAAATAAAGAAGGGAACCCAAAAACTTGACGATAGAACAGGGCCAAATCGAAAAGACTGACAATGAAAAATTCCCTATGAGTTAGAGGGGAATGCACATTAGATTTTAAAGTTGTTTCCTATTGTGTGCTGTGCTGTAATACCATCTCTACAACCCCCACATCTTCAGTAAAAATCTCTTATTAAAAAAATCTCATAATGTTGGTTTTGGGGGGAATCAAAGAGAAGAGATCATGGCAAACTGCAATGTGAACAAACAGAGGAGCTGAAGTAAGACAAGCCCTCTTGTACTAGTCAAGCTAGGGTAGGCTATAGCAAACATATTCAAAAGAAACAAATGAAACTCAGTCGTTTAACACATCAGAGTTATTATGTTCCTTTTCTTTTTATTGATTTGAGAGAAAGAGAAACATCGATGTGTTGTTCCACTCATTTATGCTGTCATTGGTTCCCGTATGTGCCCTGAATGAAGATCAAACTTGCAACCTTGGCATATTGGGATGACGCTCTATTCAACTGAGCTACCTGGCCAGGGCCCAGAGTTATGTTTCTCATGTTGCTTCTATCACAGGCCAGTGCAGGTCAGGCAGCTCTCCTGCTTGGCTTTCCTCCAGTGACTCAGAGATCAGGCATTTCCACTACTGATGAGTCTTTCACTGCTTGATGTGTGGAAGAAGGGAGGTTGAGTGACCAAGAACACCACTGAAGCAGTGCCTTGGAGAAAACTTACACCATTAAGTCTACATCTTAAAAAATAAGATTTGAGTTTCCAACTCAAAAGCTAGAAAAAGAACAACAAATTAAACCCCCAAAAGAGGGAGGAATAAAGATAAGAGCAGAAATCAATGAAATAGGGGGGAAAATACAATAGAGAAAATCTACAAAGTCAAAAGGTTATTCTTTGAATAGATTAATACAATTAATAAACCCCTAGCAAGACAAATCTTGGAAAAGAGGAAGCAAAAACATCAATACCAAAATCAGTAATAAAAGTGGAATATCACCACAGACATTAAAAACATAAAAAGGATAATGAGGATATGATAAAATTTATGTCAATAAGTTGACATTTTATATGCCAATATTTATGCTATTAAATTGGAAATTTTAGGTAAAATATACAAGTTTTTAAAAATATAATTTACAAAATGTCCACAAAAATAAATAGAAAATGCCAATAGTCCTATATGTATTAAAAAATTGAATCTGAAATTAAAACTCTTCTCATAAAACTGTAGCCTCAAATGTATTCACACAAAAAAATTAAGGAATAAATAATATTGACCTAAACAAGTGCATTTAGAGGCTAGAGGAAGTGCATTTAGAGGCTTGGGGAAACATCCAAACTCATTTTTTAAGGCTTGCAAAACCTTGATGCCGAAAGCTCAGGAAGACATTACAGGAAAGGAAAATGAGTGGCCAATATCTTAGGCTGGGGAATTTAGAGGAGCACATGGTGAGCCTACTGGGTGACAATAACAGTCTCCACCACAGCATACTCTTCTGGTCATTAAATACCCTTTTGCTCTCTTCTTTCCACAAGTAGAACACCTCAACTGCTCCTCACTGAAGACAATCCAGAGCCCATCTGGCATTGCCTTCCACAGTGACTTCTCTTAGACCAAAGATCTGAGAACTCAAAGGGCAAGGAGTCTGCCTCATACTCAGACCAACATACAAATATCCAATTATGGAACAGGAATCGGGTAACTTCAATCAACAATCCCCTTGGGAAAAGGGAAGACTGAGAGACCCACAGCAGTCATGTTCTACAGATACACTGGTGTTGCGATGCTGAAACTCCATGGGCAGACAGTACAAAGGATGCCTATCTTGGGCAGGAACTCTCTCACCCACTGTTCTTTGTCATCCTTGGCATCACTCTCTGAGGGGCTTCCCCCTGGACCCTTACTCTCCTTGGCTGCATCTAAGGAGGGAGTTGAGAATGCTCTCCTTACGGGTTGAACAATTTCCTGCCAGAGGTTGTTTCAAGGCTAAGCTAACAGACTCATGCTTTTTACACAGGCTTGTGGTTTTCTTACAATACAGTTTCCTCCACAATTTGGGAAGCCTCTAATCTATTTGCATCCAGGCCGTTTCATTTGCCAATATCCACACTCAACGTACCCTTTGTAAGACAGAGTTTTCAAATGTGCTTTCTTCTTACCCAAGTGATAGTGATTTCTGGCTAGACCAGAGGATCAAAACACCTTTACCAGCTATTGTCCATGGTTCACTTGAATCCACTGGGATGTGTTCTTGGGACTTTGTCACTCCAAGTCTTTTAAATTCCTATCTCTTACTATTTTTTGAGAATGAGAAGCAGTCAACTTTTCTAACTCTGCAGGCCTCAGTATTCTGGATTTTGTCTATTCCATTTCATTTCTACTGGCAAAACATCCAATTCTATTTTGGTTTGATTGTTTGTTCTAAAAAGCTGGAATAATTTCTTATATGGCCCCTCTGTGTATACGCCTCATGTACTAGTGTATCCAAAGATGTGATGTGATTTCTGCTGAGTCAGTGCAAGGCACACACTTTCAGGTATCTGAGCTACTCAAATGAAGAAGTACAGTTACTGAAATTCAGTGACCCTTTCCTTCCAGAGCAAACCTGATGTGTCACTAAAACATTAGGCTGCTGTGTACCTGCAGAAGCAGTGAGCAACCCCTCTGCTCACCGTTTTGGTCATTGCCTGGTCCCTTTCGGGTATGAGACCTTACTCAGTAAAATGACCACAGAGAAGACCAGAAGGAAGGGACCAGTGACCCAGAGATGAACCTCCAGCAGTGACGTCAATTCTCTACTTCACCTCCTGGAGAGAAATTCTGATGTATTTTTAAAATAGTCTCACAGGCCGAAACCGGTTTGGCTCAGTGGATAGAGCGTCGGCCTGCAGACTGAAGGGTCCCAGGTTCGATTCCGGTCAAGGGCATGTACCTGGGTTGCGGGCACATCCCCCGTAGGAGATGTGCAGGAGGCAGCTGATCGATGTTTCTCTCTCATCGATGTTTCTAACTCTCTGTCTCTCTCCCTTCCTCTCTGTAAAAAATCAATAAAATATATTTAAAAAAAAAAATAGTCTCACCGAAGGGCCCCAGTAGGATTGAGCCCCAAATGCCCAAAGAAGTGACTCACTTATTAATTTACCCTTCATTGAGTGTGTCCCTTTCCCTTTACTATTTCTCCAATCCCCAGATAAACTAGTTGCACCCAAATCCTTGTCTCAAGATCTGCTTTTAGTTAGAACCAAAATTATTTAAACTTGTCCAAATGAATAGAAAGTAGCCAAAGCTATGCACTCTAACAAACTGCTCACTATCCATGTGCAGTATTAGTATATGATGTGCCAGGATTGTGAATCTTATTGTTAAGGGAAGGGGATCAAAGTTATTGTGCCTCTATTCTTTTTTTATTTTTCAATTGAGATCTAATTTGCATACCATAATATTCCCCCTCTTAAGATGTATACTTCAGTGGTTTTGAGTATACTCACAAAGTTGTACATGTTCACATAAGTCCAAATCTGTAGAGAATTTTTGTGAGTTTATTTGAGTCACATTAATGACAATTGCCAGGAAGCAAAATCTCAATGGATTGAGAAAACGCTCCGGAGAATGGCAGTTTTGCAGTTTATTTTATGCATTAGAATAAAAGGAGGAGATGTAAGGAGAGTTACATGAGACCCACTGGTGGTAGAATAAGGGGGTGAGAGGCAGCAAAGCAAGGAAATCTCTAGGGTTGAATAAAAAGTAAATCAGAGAGACACATACTTTCATGTTGGTGGGTACAGAATAGTTAATAATTAGCATTTATAGCACATAGAGAGGGCATGTGAGAAACAAGATGACAGTGTGGCCTTGTGCTCTAGGGAGTGCTGGGGTTGTGCCCTGAAGGGTCTGGAAAAATTAGATTATACTGACATTTAAAGGTATATTATCTTAGATGCAAAATGGGCTCACCTAAGGTAAAGATTGATCTGTGTCAAGGAAGCTACAAGCCTAGACCATGACTACCAGTCATAGCCTGCTTTTAGTTAGGAAATTTTATGTTCAGACCATCCTATGTGGAATCTGAGTTTGTAAAGCCCACCTGAACTTGCCGGGTTTAGTATGGGACCCTTTTTTTTTGGTCCACAAACAGGAGGTATCATAGTTAAGTGATGTGGGCTCTGGAGCCAGGCTATCTGGGTCTACTGCTTAATAATTATGTCACCTAAGATACCATCCTTAAACCCTATAAGCTTCAGTTTTCCTCACCTGTAAAGTAGGGATTAAGTAGTACCAACTTCCTAGGTTTATTGTCAAGATGAACTGAGACAGCCCTACCCGGTTTGGCCCAGTGGATAGAGCGTCGGCCTGTGGACCAAAGGGTCCCGGGTTCAATTCCAGTCAAGGGCACCTACCTTAGTTGCAGGCTACTCCCCTGCCCCGGGCTCTGGTCAGGGCTGTGCAAGAGGCGACCAATCGATGTGAAAGTGTTTCTCTCACTTCGATGTTTCTCTTTGTCTTTCCCTGTCTCTTCTACTCTCTTAAAAATCATTGAAAAATATCCTTAGGTGAGGATTAACAACAACAAAAAAGATTAAATGAGACAATCCATGTGAAAACAGTGCAGTGCCTAGCACCCAGTAAGTGTATAATAGATGTTACATAATATTAATTAAAGAGCTGGGAAATAATGCGACAGGAAAGAAAACATGCAGTGAATATTATTGCTGGTAATGATATTCCTTTTGCACGCCTGATTGGAAATGTGCTTATCTGGGAGCCCCGAGCAGTGGCAGAGAAGTGCATAGTCAGATAGATGAGGTGCTAATGGACCTATTTATGAGATGAACAGGATCTGAAAATGTATTAGCTCTTAGGAGTGCATGATCCAAGTCTGAGAATGTCCCCCTGAGGACTTAGGAGAGGAGAGGCTTAATTGGAGTGCAATGTAAATCTCAATCACAATCCTGCCCGCAGGTGAGAGGAGCTGCCCGCCCCATGGCAGGAGGCTCAGACTGCACTTTGACGGCCTCTGATATTCCAAACCACATGGCTCTGCAAGGCCAGGCTGAGGGACTGGAGGGAAACCAGTAAGTGTGAGTATGTCAGTATGACTCTGAGTGGGCTGGACTATGGGCTCTGGTTGCTGCTGCTGCTAAGAGGTTATGTTGCAAGGAAGGGGACCAGTGAGATAAAGTTCTCACCTGAGCTATGGGTGGTCAAGCCAGTGTTTGAATTCAGATCTTCACCTTAGAGGTGACAGAGCATATTCGATAAAAGCACGGGTTCTGGGGTTAGACTGACTGAGTTCAAACCCCAGCACTTCCCCTGAATTAACTGTGAATCTGAACCAGTCGCTAACACCTCCAAACGAAGGGTCTTCATCAATCAGCTGAATTTGCATTATTGTGTTGGCTGCCCTCTATTTGCCTTCCAGATGCACTCTCCACCCTTCTCTACATGCCCAGGGGCACCATGGCCCTCTGCCTTCCAGTTGTGTCCAAGAAATGGGCAGATGGAAGGAGAGTAAAATCTTGGTACTGTGTGTATTTCCTTCCATCCCATGCTACTGGGTGTTAATGTAAGACACATTCAAAACTGTAAAAAAATTTTTGTGAGTTTATTTGAGCCAAACTGTCGACATTTGCCAAGAAGCAGAATCTCAATGCATTGAGACAATGCTCCCGAAAATGATGGTTTTTCACCCATTTTTATAAATTACCATCAAAGGAGGAGACGTAAGTGGGTTACATGACATCCATTGGTGATAGATTAGGAAGGTGGGAGAAAGCAAAGCAGGGAAAACCTCTGGGGTTGCATAAGAAGTAAAATGATAGATACATGTACATGCTTCTTTTACATAGCTGGGTACAGGATAGTTAACAGTCAACAATTAACACGATAACAATAGCAATGAGGGAATCTGTGGTCTCTGCCCTATTACCCTGGCACATTGGTTGTTCCCTGAGGGGTCTGGAAAAAAGGAAGTTACAAGTTACCCTGACCTTCCAAAGGTATGTTATCATAGGTGCAAAAAGACAATAGGCTCTGTTAAGATCGCAGTTGATCTTTGTCAGGGAAGATACCAGCCTAGGACATGACTACCCACCATAGACTGCTTTTTAATTTAAAAGTTTTAATTTCAGATCATCCTCTGTGGTTACTTTAGGTCTCTGGGTTTGCCAGGCCGCCATGCAGGCCTTTCCCGAGCTAGTCAGGTTAGCATGTGGCCCCTTTTCATCCACATGGGTTACTTCCATCCCACACTCTGGATATACTCTATGGTATGCAAATCATGGTATGCAAATTACAATGAAGTTTACTAATTTTTTTTAAGTGGGGAAAAAAGTAGACCTAATAATTGCCTCACAGCGTTTGTGAAAATTAAATGAATCCGTGTGGTCTCTACTAACTCTGATGGTTCCCATACAAGCCTGGAAAGTGAGGTAGAGGGTCAGCAAATCTCAACATGTTCTAATGTCCTGCAACAGAGATAATGTCAACAACGCCGCAGACTGCAGTCTGGGAGTTAACATGTAATTTGGTCTGTGTTTCCTCATTTGGAAGCTGCCCTGCCCTCTTCTAAGGGAGTCAAGTCCTGGGGAGGCGGTGGGGCAAATGCTCAAGCTGGCCAGACAGAGCATTCCATCCCCTGGACACAAGGAAACACAGGACATCTAAGCAAGGGCCAGTGGAGTCCTCTGAGGAATTGGTTGGGTTACTAGGAGTCTCATCGTCTAAATTCACCAGCTTAAGGATCCTAAAAAGCCTGGAGTTTCTGGGATTCTTTCAAATCCCAGAAAACGTGCTAGAAAAGAAATTCAACATAGACAAAAGTCATCCCAAGGGACAGAAGAAAATAGAGAAACAGATTGCTGGCAAAAATATTTTGGGTTTCTTGGTTCAGTTTTCAGTTATGAGATCCAATACGTTCTCTTTTTGTCTCTAGAGTCTAGACTCTAGGCTAATTTGAAATGGATACCTGTTATTTGCAATAGAAATAGTCCTACCGGTTAACCTTATAAGCCCTTCTTCTAAGTTTAGGTATTTCCTTTGTCTTAATAGAAGCTCTGAGAAATGAATGGGTGCTGAAAATTTTCTTTCCATTTTTCTGGTAGAAAAAAACCACACCACCTAATATGTTAAGAAACGCATTCAATTTGCACAGCAAGTCAATGTTGGTGCCGACTGAAGAGCACCAGTCCTGTCAGGGCTGTTTTATGATTTTCATGAGCCCCAGACACTTTTACTTCCATGAGCTCCTTCCTCCATAAAATGATATTTTTAATGCTTTGGTATGAAGACAAATATAGTCCTAACTGGGTTCATTATTATTTATTAAATTATTTTAAAATTATTTTTTGTTCTGTTTTAAAAGAAATTAAAATATTTTCATGGGTC